TCTGATCTCAGTATTACCTAATTATGTCCACACAATTAAGACAAATTGTCAGTCTGGTGGTATGCCTCTACCCAAACAGTATGCCAGCATTCAGAATTACACAACAGAAAATTGTATGTATGTTTTAAGTGCTGATTTCTAAGAATTATACAGAACTTATGACTTTTACAGAGAAATAGGATACACCCTGAGAAACAGAAATTCCCATCCGTCTGTTTGGACAGAGCATAAAAATCCCTGTGCATACCTCTGCAGTTTACCCAAAAGATAATTAATTCTTCTTAACACAGATCTTAAAGGCTCTGCTCACTTATGAGTATTTGGATACATAGATTTTTTTTAATTAGAAAACTAGAAATCAACGTGTTAACATTGTAAGTAACCAGATCTATAAACGTGATGACTCTCCATGGCTGGACACATAACTGAAGTGAGCATTGCTCTGGCTTCCTCGCAACACAGCTGTGTTGACATCAATAGTCTAAGCCAACGCCAGACAGATTTTAGCACAAGGGTGCCCTAGTTTGGGATATCTGGTCTGATATGCATATTTAGAGTAAGAACAGGGGCAGAGGGAGATAGCTTTGGAACAAAAGACAATAATGAACTTGTCTTTTTAAGTCTCAAGAGTGTCAGAAATTTCAGTGGAAAGGTGAAAGAGCAAGAGGAGAATACAGTTACCGATTATTCTTTCCTTCAGCCTTACTGCCTTCAGGAGCTATTTCCTCTGTGTGGCACAAGATCTGCACTTGATAGCAAAAAATAACAACACATTGACAAGGGTGCTCACTTTCAAACATGCTGTTGATAATCAACAGAAATACTACTTGCTTTGTGATAACCTCATTATATTCAACAGCCTCCTGGGTTTATTTATACTCAATTTCAACTGACAAAAATAATCTCTCTATAGAGAGAGCGTACTATATTGAGTCTGTTCTTGCTTGTGTTGGTTAAAGGCATCTGTAAATTCAATCCACTCCTTTACAGCTTCTAATAGGTATTACCTATTACAATTAGAGCAATCAGTTTTCCCATCACAGTCACTAATCAGGGTTTAACATTCACTATGCAGAACACTGCTTACCAGCTGAAAACTTACAGCCACATTATCATCCCTAACTGACTTTCCAAGTGACCATATCAACAAAGTAAAAAATGTTTGCTTAATTAACAGTTAGATTCCTGTGGGTGGAGGTGGAGACAACATCTGTCCTCCCTGTCTGCGCCAACAGATTTATATAGCTCTTTTGCTGTGCCAGAAGCCCTTGAAGCACGTAACGTGGAATACGCCAGGATCGGCTTAAGTTATAAAGTGTTGTTTGCATTCAATGGTTGTGTTAAGATTTTTATATATGTATAGCATATACACGTTTGAGGAAACCTCAAACAAATTAGCCACTGCTGTGGTTACAGAAATATACTTCTGAAGTCTATTTTAGTCTACCAAGCTAGCTTTTATAGGAAAAGTTCCATTTAAAGTTATACCAATGTTTTTTATCTAAAAATAAAGTTGTTTACATCTGCCTTTTAACCTGAGTTAAGAATGAACTAAAGTTAGATGCTCTATTTTATAGAGTGGCATTGTCAGATGTTAGAATATTATAAAAAAAAATGTAAAATATTAGATCTTAGTTTTCATGTTTGAAAGCTGTAGCTGAAGTTCAAATAACAGATGAAAAAGAAGCATACTCAAGCATTGAACGTATGCATCCTTCTGTGACTTCAAAGCTCTTCCAGCTAACAGACCCATATGAATTAGCCTCACACCAGCAGCAGTGAAACTTGTTTGAGAATTCTCTGTCACTACATTATTCCGTCTTTTGTAAGCACAGAGACTTTGCTCTATGTTTCCAGTAGAACCAGGAATCTGGTTAACAGATATTAATGGTTTTAATAACAGCTCTTCTTTTTTGGCAGTTAGGGGTAACTGACTGCTCAGCTCCATAACCTCAGAAAGAGTTCAAAGATACAAAATAGGGATGAAAAATATTTGCTAGTCACTAATAGAGTATTGTGGAAGGCTCTTTCTCCTTCCTGGTGGATAGTGGCAATAGGATGCTTGGACACTGGCAAAAAGTAAAGCCACATGATAATGACAATTTCCATTAAAAAAAGCAGTGCAAATGGAAGATACGGTGCTGCCTGCAAATATGGTGCAAAATACATTTTATCATTCTACAATACAGAGTACACCAGTCTGCATCAGACCAACCAGAGAAATCTCCCAAAGGAGTTTGTTCTTCTGCAGGTTCAGATTCAGCACATAAATGGACTGTGTTCATCAGCAGAAAGGGATTACTGTGGTAACTTCCAAATAAGGTACTGATTCACTGCCTCCGGTAAATAATAAAGTTATTTTTATTCAGAAGCATTTTACAGAATGAATAACTCTCTTGTAATGTCTTCTACAAAGATATGCATGATAAATATTGTAGAATACTTCTTCTACAATTGTTTAAAAAAATCGATGTATGCCTTTGAGAGAGCTAAAAAGTATCTTTCTAAGCCAAGAGCACACCAGCAAATGGAAGAGAAAGCACAACGTAGAAAAGCTTAGAGACATTACTCTTGAACGTAACCCAACAAGAACTGCTGACAAGTGAAGAAGGCCCCAAGCTGGGGGAAGTTACCCTCTCGCCATTTCTTCATCCTTTATCTTTTTTTTTTTTTTTTTTTCCCCCAGAAAAACAGGATTTCCATAGAATCATGGAATCACCAAGGTTGGAAAAGACCTCTAAGATCATCCAGTCCAACCATCCACCTATCACCAGTATTTCCCACTAACCCATGGCCCTCAGTACAACATCTAAACTTTTCTTGAACACCTGCAGGGACAGCGACTCCACCACCTCCCTGGGCATCTGTGTCACTGCCTGTCCACTCTTTAGAAGTAGGATTTCCTAATGTCCAATCTGAATCTCCCCTGGCACAACTTGAAGCCATTCTCTCTCATTCTTTTGCTAGTTACATGGGAGAAGAGGCTGACCCCCACCTCAGCACAACTTCCTTTCAGGTAGTCTATATGTATTTATAAATAAACAGCATTAACTAGACAGAATAAAAAGATACTAGTCCCTCAAACTAATTTCTTCTTCTTGAAAGAACCTGAAGAATACTGAGTTTTGGACAGTCATTTCAATAAGAAAGATGAAACAACATATTTTGTAAGCAGATCATCAATTTTATCAAATCTTTGTAATTTTATAAAGATATATAGTAGCTGGAAAATTGTTCCTAGAATGTAGCTGTCAATTATTCACTATCAAATTGAAAAGATGTATAGAGTAGAGCTCTTTTTTATATGCAGGATTTAATCTTAATTGGGTTAAAAAAACAAACAAACAAAAAAAAGGCCTAAGTATCTGAAAAGGATTTGGAAATTATAATAGGTTACAAACTGAATACCAGCAGCATCATTATGACAACAGACACACAAACATTTATTAATTTATGTTCTTATTAAAGGAGTCTGGATCAAGTGGAAGAAAAGAAAATAATTAGTGGGAAATAATGCTGCTACAGCACAGGGAAGAGCCAAAATTATGAGGAGAGAAATTATGAGAGTAGGAGGAAGCAATTTGTTTGTAATTTATTTCCATTGCCTCTGCTCTCTTCATTTTGAGCATTTATACCAGTTTTGTGTCATGCTTGGTAGATTTTTCACTGCAAATGGCAATTTCAGTATCTCCTGTGTTGTTATAGCAGTGAAAGTAATGTAACAATGATGACACAAGGATAAAGAGAGTTGCAGGTAGAGGTGAAATATATAATTGTAACATCTGTTGGAAAAGAAAGCAATTTGAAAGCAAAGAAAGAAAGACTAGCTTCAGACTAGCATTTTGATGAAGCTAGTTACTAGTAGAATATTTATTTTATAAATTTGTTAATATATCTTAAAATTGAGATAATGGACATGACAAAATTCAATATATTTGCATTGCTTTTAAGAATACAGTTGCATATACCTAGTCCATTATGCACAAAATTCAAAATTGACTAGCAAAGTGTATAGAATCTTTATGTAGCATTTATCCAAGTGGTGTATTTGTTACATACTGTAGGTACCAGAATGTGTAGTTTTCCCTTACACTTATTCACATCATACAGATTTATTTATTTCTAAAAGTATATACTAGAAGAGAACAGGATTATGAGTTAAGATACATGAGACAGGAGAATCAATTAGAAGTGTTAGAGCAAAAGTTGTTATTTCAAGGACATAACAGCAAAGGCTAAAAGAAGTGGAAAATTCATTTTTTGAATGCGTGACAGTCCTGTAACCAACAGCAGTGGAAGTACTGAGTTATATTTGATGTCATCTTGGTGATAAATAAAAACGCTCGATGAAAAGAAGCAAGTCAAGATGGACTGAGGGGCTTTTGTTCAAACCTCTAGCCAGCTTTTAATAATTTTCCCAACTCTACATGACTGAACACTGTTACTATGTGTTATTAAAAATGAAGGAGAAAGTTCTGCAAGCTTGATTTTTTGAAATTTCTGCTATTTTCACAAGAAATACATGACTGGTTTGGTTGGAAGGTTTACTGCCAGAAGGACTATATTTGTTCTCAAATAAATCTTAATATCAAAAGATGTTCCTTCTGATAAGTATTTACTGCTACAAAGGTATAAATGACTAGCTAGTAATTCAGAGAAAATATGATACAAAATAGTTTGTGTGGAAAAATTTTGAAATATTCCAAGATTTAATCTAGTATCAATGCAACAACCTTTGTGGTGATCTATTAAAGCAACACTCCCTGAAAGGAGCAGCATGGGTATCCGTTAGGCACACCATCTCCAGCAAGAAGTATATGCTTGGTCCTTCTTCATAAAACATTCTTATGCCTTAGAACAAAAATTAGAAAAGATAGGAAAGCTACAGATAGCCTATGGTAATGTGCTTCAACTATGTACAAAAAATATATACATTTTCACTTATTTGATTTCGACATAATACGCACTGCTGTAGCTAAGAAAACTAGAGTACATGATACCTCATCTAAACACTGAAACGCAGGACTTGATGTTACATCAGTGGATCCTTCATCTCGGGTATATACTGTTGGAGCTAAAGCACAGATAGGTTGCTCCTTTTCGACTTCCAATTCTTTTTCATCGGAACTGGAACTTTCATCACCAGCTTGACTCATTCTCTGGAAATCTAGGAATAAAAATACCAAAATTTGGTTAATTAGGTCCTGGGATACAAGTGACCACGAAAGATAAATATGTAGTGTAGAGAACACAATGTCTACATGCGAGACTCACACATTAAAACCAGAATGATAGCAATTTGGGATTCTCTGTAAGTTCATGAAAGAGAGGAGACAGCACTACCCCTCTAGCATTGTTTGAGTATTTTAAAAATCCTCAAACAGTTGGCTAAGCTCTCCTTATATAAGCATTTGACAGTGTGTAAAACAATACTTCTTAAAGGACAGTCATTGAACAATAGCTCTAATTTGGAAAACGCTTCAGGAGTCTTCTCTGCATATCAGGGCTTACTTCAAAACTAAATCAAGTTCTTTACGGCTTTCTTTATCTGAGTTTTGAAAATCTGTTAAATTGGAGACTTCAGTTTCTGCATTATAAAGAAAACCCCAAGGTAGAATTATTGCAGGTTTCCTGTTGTCTCCATAGTACTATACAAAGAACTCGTCTCCCCTCATCTCCAGCCACACGTGCCACTCTTTGCAGCATCTCCTGATCTTGTGGGGTACCAACACACAGAACAGGAGCCCCTTTGCAGAACATAGAGTTCTTGAGGAAAAGACGTGGTCTGACATGTGTGGGTAATATCATTATTCATGTTCATAAGTCATTGCATGGTCATAATGAACAAAAAAAAGAAAGAAAAAGACAAAACAAAACATCAAAGCCATACAAAATGCAAAAATGTGGTATAATATCTGAGAACAAGAGGCAGATGTATAATGAAATCTGGCACACAGAAGTCTTGCTGTGCCATAGCAAGACAGGAGAGACAGAGCTTGTTTGTAGAGCAAAATACAGAGGGCAGGGGAGACAGAATATGTATGGAGGAAATCAAGCATTTCTTCACAAGTTCTCTATAGTTGGCCTTAGATGCAGTGGACAGACAAATCACAATTTGGTATTTCAGTTCAAAATGTGGGAAGAAAGGTTGATTATGACTGCAAGTGTTCACCCGACTCTGACAGTTCTAAGGTAACTATTATGTAAAGCAACACTTGCAGAGAACATTATTTTCTGCTGCAGTAATGATAGAACAGGATCCTGACAGATGATAAAATGCTGAACTCACATTAAATTATCTAGTCTTGTCAATATTCTCCTTTAAGAAAATCCTTTTTGTTATAAATAAAAAATCCACAATAAAAATGAGGGAATTTTTTTGTGAGTATTTTAATAGTATGCATCATGTTTCTCCTGATGAAAGAACAGGAGTTTTGCATTCCAAAGTCAGAAAACAGACAGCAGAACGTGATTTCTTTTTACAGCTGTGATGAGAAAATGATATAAAAATGTTTTGTTTAGCATAGCCACTTCTTGAAAAATTACTTGTCTATAAAGGTGGACCACAAATTGTCTATAAACTACACTTTATTCAGCGCTGTTTAGAATTCCTTCAAGAACAGTTTGACTTTTAGAGAGATTTCAGCAGTTGTATTTGCTTATGGAAAAAAAAAGAAAAAGCAATTTCATGGTCACTCCTGAAGGAGTCAAAACATTGTGAAACAGCTGTAAACATCACCAAGGCCAAGAAATAATTCTGAAGCACTGTACATATACACAATTATAAAATGAGATTTGCTTCTCATCTACAAAATTGCTGAATATTTGAGAATACACATTTCACCTTTATGGCTGCTGTTGCTTTACTTGTGCCTCTGCACAAATTTCTGGAAGAAATGAGAAAGAGTGAAAAACGCAAGAGGAAAAAGCTCTAAGCAGAGCAATGCCAAAGACTGGGAGCTTCACCTGTGCAGACATCTTTATTTACAATTTACATGAAACAGACTTAATGTGTGTGAAAAAATATCCAGGTTAACAGCTCTTCACAGTATGACAACCCCAAAAATGTTTTCACCAGAGATTCCATTTTGCTGAGCAAAAGGACAACAAAATCTCCTGAATCTGAAATGCTTGTAATATAACGATAAGATGCAAATCATCAGACAGAGGAAAACAACTAGACAGCCTTGGCTACTGTAATAAACACTAGTCTCCATTGCTTTTCAAGAAGGAAGGGAACAGATTTGCCTTTTCAAAATATTAGCAAGCAGTACTGTAACAAAAGATACGTGAAGTTTAGCATTCTTCAACTATCCACTATATAATTACATTTAAAATCCAATTCGAGAAAATCGCATACACAGAGTTAAAAAAAACAAAGTGGAAAAATAGTATTTTTGCCATATCTGATAAACAGTTTAATTCAAATAGAAATGAAAGCTGAAATGATTTCTAAATTTCCAGAGTAGTTCAATTAACATGGATGTTCTTAAACAGAAGAACTGCAAATAACACTGAGGCCTTGAACCAGCACAAAGAATTGCTGAGGAAGAGAATTACAAGTCTGTTTTAGAATCCAGGTCATATCTTGTGAAATAGCTTCAGGACAGCAATAAAAGTCTGAATGCAGATTCCAATGATGAACTCCAGCAACCTTACAGTTCTCTCCAGCAGTCAGCAGTGTTAATACAAAAGCCAGAGAAGAGTATAGAAGGGTCATGTTTAGTTGTACTGGCTCTTTCTAAAATTGCAACTGCAAAAAGTAGTAACATTAGTGAAAGCAGTAAAATTTCATTCTGAACGTGAAGACATAAAGCTCTATGTATGAAGATGCATCAGCTTTAAGACTTACTAAGAAAGCACCAAATTTACAAAAGTCTCTGCTTGGGGCACTACATTTCATTAACGCTTTACACTTTGTCTTAATTGTGTTATCTCACAAAATAGATCCATTACAGTTAAGCCAAGTTAGTTAAATTGGTGTAGACTGACATTTAAATACTCCAAACCACTAAAGGTTTTCTTGTTTCATACAAGAGCACAAAGCTAAGGTTTAGGCAAGTTTAAAAGAATAGGTGTGAATCCACACTAAGTTGAACCAAGGCCATAGACATGGATCTCCTTCCTGAGCCAGTGGATGCTGGGTACCACTGCCTTCCTTTGCAGGAGGGGATACCTTTCTTCTCTCTCAATGCTGACCTGCTGGAGGAATGGCTTTAGGACCATTTTTCAGACAAAATCAGCTAAGGAAGCCTACTATTTTTAAGCCAATGGTATGAGATAAAATGGCTAATTTTGATGGAAGTTAGTCAAGGAGCACATTCCCATCTGTCCTGCTGGCTGAGAGGCAGCACCCAGAGCAGTGAGACAATGAACAGGACCTTAGCCAAGCTACTGGGCATGACACAGGATATTTATCCGCACCTCCATGTAGCTTAGTTTTGCATACAAATGTTAAAAAAAGAAACATGGCTCTGAGAATGAGACAACTGGCTTAGTGTTTAGTCAGAAAAAAAGTTACTCAATTCAGCTGGAACACCAGAGCAATGACACCTAGAGAAACCAAAGCTGGTCTAGCTCATCATACCTCCAGCCAGCACTGGGTGCCAGGGGGCAGACAGAAGAATCCATCAGTGGTGTTTTCCTGAACTTATGCTAAATTGTCAGCGTCTGCAAAATCTGACAGAATGGAGTTTCTCATCTTACCTCTACGTTCTTTTTGTTTGTTTTGAATCTGGCTCTTTGATGTCTCCTATTTCTTTTACTGGATGGGTCACTGAATAATCTCAACCTTTCAATGCCACTTGTTTTCCAACACAGTCTCTCTGTTTGGTAATCCCTTCTCTAGGCAGAACAACTCAACCTCCCTGCTGCTACTGATAATAAAGTCCTTCTCTGCCTTCTGCTGTCTTTGTCATCCTTCTCCAAGTCTGTTCCAGCTCTATCATATCCTCTTCAAAGAGAGGGACGAGAAAATATTGGTAATATAGGAGTACCGGGGATTTATTCAGTGGCACAGTGATTTTCTTTTCATTTCTTAACATCTTATTTCCTAATGCTTCTTTCCTATAGTTAAAGCTTACAGTCTAGTAAATAGCAGGACCTCTGTACTAACTGGGCAAAGCTTCAGCTCTAAAGGCTGTGTCTTTAAAACACAAAGCTATACCAACATTAAGCAAGAGCTGAAATTAAAATTACATAGTTACAATAGGTTATTTATTATTCCATGCAATTCAGAGTACTTTGATTAGACATGTGACTACATAGACAACTATTCTGGGGAGATGTTAACACACTGCATACTTTCAATTGCTTAACAATTCTGTTATGAATTCCATTATTTCTGTTTGTTTTCAAGTCCCTGCTGTTTAGGATGGAATCACCCTGAGCCACCCACAGGCTTCATCTGCTGGAGCCATAGTTAGATACGGATGATTTGAATGGTGAGAATTGTCACTTCCCTTTTCACTTGGTTTCCATGAGGAACTTGATTTCCTCAGAAGATTTCTTGTAGCATGACAAACAAAAAACAACCCTGAAATCTAAGCCTCTGCCCTCTCAACCCTGAGAAGAAACCGTTTCCATCACTACACACACATTGAAACACCAAGCGAAAAAAAACAAAACCAGCTCTGCCTAACCACCAAGCGCTACTCATGATTTGAAAATTCTGAGGGCTCAAGGAAAAGTGGCAGTTCGGAAACATATAGAAAAATATAAATTACCAACCACAAAAAATAATTACAATGATGCCATGCAAATATTCTACAGTGGAAATGCATGGAATTTTTAATAAGCTTAAAAACTTATGTCCTGACACTAAAATTCTTAACCCTTAGCTGAAGAAACATAAGTGAACAGCCAGCTCTAAGTGAGGCTAACCTTGTCCAAGCACCGGGTGTTAAGTCAAAAGACAGGTTCTTGTAGATAGGAACCTCAGCACGAGCTAACACCAGCAAGAATACTCCTGCAGGGAGGATTCAATATGAAATGGAATCAGTGTTACAGCCAAAATAGACGAGGGCTGCTCTGAAAGCAGAGCCTGCTAATTTCTTATGTTGGCCTATAATGTCAGAGGCAGATGTTGGTGGTATGGCAGTAAAATTTGAACCTTCCCACCAATATTCTGTCATATTTTGTTGCTGTGCAATACGTGGCAGCAAAGGGCAGTCTTGTCAGCATCTGACATGGCAGTATGTACAAAGCAAAAACTGAATTCCTCCATGTGGAAACAAGGGCACCCACTGACATTCATCGATGCTTGCTGAGCATTTATAGAGACCAACCAGTGGTGGTGAGCACGGTGAGGCGGCGGCTGCTGCCTCCCAGCAGCAATATGTGAGCGGCGCCCCACCGGGAAGGGGCGGCCAACCTGTTGCGTCTGCTGCCACCTAGCGGCAGTGCCGCACACTGCAGCTCTGTCCCGGCTTCCCTGACAACTCGTACAACTTTTTCTTTCTCCCTTTCTTCCTTTCTCCCCTTCCTTTCCTTCCCTTCCTTTCCTTTCTCTCTATCTCTCCTTTCCTTTCCCTTTCCTTTCATTTTCCCTTTCCCTCTCCTCTCCTTTCTCCTTTCCTTCTTCCTTTCTTCCTTTTTTCAAAGATAGGCAATTTCTCAAATCTTGGAAAAATTAACTCATACCCTTCCACACGTCCCAAGATACTTGTTGCTGCATTTTCCTCTCGGCAGAGCTCTATTTCTCCATACTAAACCAGCACAAGGCAGATTGGACCTTTCTATGCTTCGTTTAACGATTTTTGAGATGAAACACGGAGCAACGCCCGCACCCCCACCTCCCCATTGTAACTATCCTACACTGCAGGCACTGAATACTGAAAAAGCTTTTTTAACTGAACTCCGCGGCTCCCCACTTGCTTGCCCTCTCGGGATAACTGTTGCACGACACATTTGTAGAGAACTCAGTAAATTATCCCCGCAGGGACCGCGAATTGCTGCTGCCTACCCTACCTGCGCGGCGCACCCGCCTCGCGGCGTCCCGCTGCTACGGCAACACGGACCCGCCTCCTCCTGCTCCCTTTGCCTGCCTTCCTCTCATCCTGGCTGCCGATTGGTCTCAGCATCCTTCCCGCTGACCAATACGAGAAGAACACGGCTGCGCTGCGCCCTCCTCCCTCTCTCCTCAGCCAATGAGCACGGCGAACCGGCAGCGCCTTCCAGCCGCCGGCGAACTACGACTCCCAGTAGGCCCCGCGGCGGGCGGGGCGTTCGCCCACGGCCGCCGCCTGTTTACCGAGCGGTGCCGGACGGGCAGTGCTGCCGGCACCATGCAGGCACTGTCCCCGCGCTGGGTGCCGTTTGCACTGAGGGCGGCGGGCGGGTGGTGCCGCGGCTGCAGCGGCTCCGCCGAGCTCGGCGGCCCTAAGCCGCTGAAGGAGTGGACGCTGGTGGTCGGCCCGCGGGGGCGGCTGCGGGTGCGGCTGCCGTGTGAGGTGAGCGTGCGGCCGCTCGACCCGCAGCGCTACCCGGGCGCGGACCGCGTGTTGGTCACCGTCAGCGGCGTGGAGCGGAGCGCCCGCCGCCACCTCGAGCACGTCAGCGTGCGCTACGACGAGGCGCTGCAGCTGCTGGCCATCGCGGCCGAGGGCATGGACGGCAAGGCTGCCGTGGACGTCCGGACGCCGGGGAAGTTCGGTGCGTGACGGGGCGGTGGGGCTCCGCCGGGGCGGGGCTGTGATGCGGCGTGCTTTGGACTGCCGGTCGTGCCTGAAGGGTAACTAATGCGGGGAGCTGAGGTTCGCCATAACTCCTCGGCATACCAAAAGAAAAGTCGTTTGTTTTGTTTGGAGTGGTTATTCAAGGCTCTGTGTCATCTGCTGCCTTGCTGCAGCAGATGACGTGCTATGCCATGCTATGGGAGTGGTGAATAATCCCGTCCGATATAAGCTTCGTATGTGTCACCTGTGAGTTTCTAGGCCGCTGTGTTATGTTTTTTTTTTTTTTGGCCACCACTTCTCCAGGCTTTTATGGCAAAGATGTGCTGAACCTTTAATCTGTTTACTGTTACCTGCTTTGTCTCAGGACAGCCATACTGGTTGCTCTGATGAGTACAGCTGGCCCATTGCTTTGTCCAGCAGTTAACTCAGGGCAGAAGAAGAACTGGACAGACAGAAACAATGCTTCACCCAGGAGTACTCTCAGTTGTCAGCTGTCATGGCCTGTTATGGACTCACAGAGGAGCTCTGGGAAGAAGTGCTTGTCTGTGAAAAGCTGATTGACAAACTTCCTGTCTTCTGACAAAGAGAATCACAGAATGGCCAGGGTTGGAAGATACCTCAAGGATCAGGAATCTCCAACCCCCCCACCACATGTAGGTCCACCATCCTCCCCATTTAATGCTAGACCAGGCTGTCCAAGGCCCCATCCAATCTGGCCTTGAACACCTCCAGGGACAGGGCATCCACAACTCCTCTGGGCAGCACCTCACTACTCCTGTGAAGAATTTCCCACTGACATCCACCCTAAATCTTCCCTCCCTCAACTTCAAACCATTTCCCCTTGTCCTGCTGTTATCTCCCCTTTCAAAGAGTTGACTCCCCTCCTGTTTGTAGCCTCCCTTTAGGTATTGAAAGGCCGCAATGAGGTCACTCTGCAGCCTTCTTTTCTCCAGATTCATTGAATTTCCTCTGATTTTTATCATGCAGGTGTACAATTGGTCAGTCAGCTTTAAGTACTCTGAATAAGTCAGTTGATGAACCTGGCTGTTTGTACTTGTTTCTAAATTCACCAAGTGTTGGGGATAATTCATCATTTATAGTTAAAAAAACAGAGAACAAGTACAGAAGTAAAGGCCTTGTCAAAGCCTTCTGAGAATCCAAGTTGGTTGTTTCTGAACAGCTGTTGTCTGTTGATTGCCTCTTTTACTGAACTGCAGCAACATTAGGTGGCAGAAATGCCCTCTCTATCAGAATTCTGTAGATTTTACTTTTTTTTTTTTTTAAGAGTTGTCTATCTGTTATGTTCTTATGTTTTTTTTTTTGTTTTGTTTTGTTTTTTTTTTTTATTATTATTATTTTTTTTTTTTCCTCTCTCCTGGCTGGCAATTATAAACATTACTTTGACTTCTCTATAGCTCATTGATAGGGTTCCTCCCAGGAATACAATACAGTCAAACCAAGATCCTTCATCTGATTAGGCTTCACCTATACTTCATTTTCTCCGGGGAGTTTCGTGCTGCTCCTTGTTACTCTCTTACGGAGTGCAAGGAGACAATTCATTGTGTTAAGACCTGGAGGATCTCAGCTTTGATGAAGAGTTTCAATGTGTGGAGCCTCTTCTAAAGTTTTCAGCATTGAATTCTAATACAAAGAACTCATTTAGCCTTTGTCCTGTTTTTGAGATTATATTCTTATTATATTTGGAACATCACCAGCTCTGCAGGCAGTCTCATATGATAGTCTTTTTCCTTTTGACGTTCTTGAAATAGGCTTCATTAACTTTTAGGTCTCTGAGCTAATTGTTCCGCTTAATGTTGTGGGAAGATCATACAACTCGAGTGTCCTATACAGTCTGGGTTATAGTCAAATTCTGCTACTTGCTGTTGGTTACATCTTAATTAGCATGATGCTGTTGTTGTCTCATCATGCTGTTAATCAGAGATATTCAGAGATATATTTCCTAAAATGCAAATATTTTTTGTACCCAGTTAAGCGGAATTGCTGCATGTCAGTAAGGTTCCACTCTGTGTCCTCTCGGTTCTGGTTTGATTTTCTGGGGTCCTCTGAGTTTATGTTTGGGTTTTTCCTCTCCTTTGGTTAGGAAAGAAGTGTTTTGTAAGCAAATATCAGTGCATCAGCACAGGATCTTACTGCTTGGAAGGTGTCCCTCAGTCTAGAATGTATCCTAGATGGCTCTAGACTCACAGAGTCACTGAAGTTGGGAAAGATGCTCAAGGTCATCCAGTCCATGTGAACATTCTGGCTTATCTCCGTCCTTCCTTGAGTGCATGAGGATGTTGACAGCAGCCTGTGCAGACTCTTTTATCTCAGCTCCCATCTGTCAACTGTAAGAAGTTGAGTAGTTTTTACATTGTATCTTTCCAGCATTCTAGCTAGCTTTCTGGTTTTGGAAGTGTTTCATAGCAGCTTTAGCAGTTTAGGTTGGAGCTTATTCAGGAAGTTCCAACATACAACCAAAAGAACATGTGCAGAAGGTGCTAGATGACAAGTTTAAATACGTACTTTAACCCAGAGGCAACTTAGCCTTACTGGCCTGACTACTAAGTGACTCTGTTTCTGTCTCAGCGTCTAGTCTTGTATTGGGCAGTCTTTCAATATAATACACAATCTGATCATCCTCTCTGACACATTTAGCCTGCGTAGATGACAGATGGCAATTAATTTCCCTTTAGCAGAATTTGTATTGATTTATTTTACTTCAGCTTACCTATATTTTAATTGTTTACTTCAGGGGCAGTGTGTGTATATAGCTGTAGGTTGTGAGTCTGCTCTTCATGCAAAGCGAACTCATTGTCTTGGTATCTAGAATTGCATGTGCTGTTTAACCTTGAAATCATCTCTTTCTATTTAGTATCCTAAGGTAAACAATCTGCCTTCTCTTCCTATATAGTTATTCTGTTCTTAGAATCATAGGATAATTCAGGTTAGAAGGGACCTCAGACGTTTCTAGTTCCAGGTTTTGAAAATCTCCAGGGATGAAGATTATACAGGTTCCTTCAGCAGACTGTACCGATGCTCTTCTCTGCTACATCCTGCTTACAACGCAGGCTTCTATGCTAAAGTCATGTGGGAGAACCGTGAAGCTTGAAATGTGGCAAGGCTTCACTGAGAATACCAGCACTCTGTCCTCAAGGGTATTCTGGGGCTAGGCCAACTTATAATCCACTGTGGTGTGTTTTGTTGTGGTGTCAGTTCTCTCCTTGGAGAATTCAAATCTTCCACGTTAGTTTTATGAAAGCCCGTAGGATCTCTTTCGGTTTTAGCTAAATAATGTAGATTCTTTATCTTTTTCATAAATGTTAATGGAAAGCAGATATGAACATTTTACCCACATCTTGCTTTTCTTAAGCGTAAACAACCATTGAGTAGGGAAGCAAAGATTGCTCACACTTACTAAATGTGACAGACTTGCAAGCTCAGAGTAGCAAATACTGAGGCTATCACAATAAATGAAGCTGAATGATTTTAACATGTATATGCATGTAATGGTAAGCTTCCTCTGTGAGTTGAGAATTGGATCAGTACCATAAAGTACTTCCTGTAGTTCAGTGCTGCTGAGTCACTTGGATGTAGGCTGGTAAAGTGTTTAAATACGAAAGCTAAAGATGGTGTTTCTGAGTACCCCTGCCTACGTTCCCATGCTAGTGGTCTGTTTTCCCTGCGCACATCAAGGCGTGGGTTGTTTGCACCTCAGAGATATGTGTTCTTCAAGGTTTGTGTGGTGGAAGTTGGCAGTCAGTGCCAACTTGGAGCTTTGGCACTGAAATTATATCCTCCTCCTTGTTTGAGGTTTCATTAGCAATATTATCCAGCTCTTAGCCTGCTTTTTTTTTTTTTTTTTTTTTTTTTTTTTTTGAGTCATTTGTTCACAAGACAGCAGCATTCCATTCCTGCTAATTTTTTCCTAGGTCGAGGCTAGCAGTGCACTGTGACTCTGTGAAGGATCAAGATGGTGTCTTTGCAGGCCAGGAATCCTGTTTTTCTTGCCAACTTACACTTGAACCCTCAGACTAGTATTGAAGGTCCATGCCAGAAGAGGACATCTAGGATTACATTTCTAATATAGTTTTCAAATAACTGCCAGAATATACCTTGCAGAATCATAATCTTTTATTATTAAAACGGACTTAGCAACCTCTTCTACCAGCTCCCTTAGCACCCTCACGTGGATCCTGTCTGGTCCCAAGGACTTGTGACAGTCTTTTTGACAGAAGGGATGAGAGCTGGAGGCTTACCATGCTGATAGAATTTAAAAGTTTGCATAAGCAAATCACTTTTTGTAATCCCTCTCTTCGCTGAAAGCAAAGTAGCAGAAGTCTTGCACATAGGCCATTCCAAGTGCAGTTTTCTGGTGAGTGAACTGAGAATTTTGAGCAAGACAGCTTGTATTTCAAAAACCATTTTGTTTTCCTTTTTGTCTTCAGGTTTGTGCCGTGCAGCGACATGCTGTTTCAAGCTCAGGTGTCTGAAAAGTGCTTCTGTTGGTGTCTCTCTGGGAACTGCCTTTAAACAATTCAGCTGCTCCCCAGGAAATACAGCATCCTAGAAAAGTTTTATCTGCCTGCCTTGGCAACTTGAGAACCAGCAGATCAGCACTGATCAGATGGAAAATTGCTCAAATACTACTCTGATAGTTTTAGTCTGGTGAAACTGTCTAGGCTTTGGCCATTCAAACATTATAGTGCTGGCTCTGCAGCCTCTGACGATTGCCACCAATCACACTTGTCAGATCTTACGCTTTTACATGCTTCAAAACCTCTTAAAATTGGCTTGAAGTTCAAGAAATATTCAATTAGATAAAATCTCAGTCACTATATCTCAACCTTGGAGGACTGTACATCTCCCTGTTCTATGAGTAGAGTAAGGGAAAAAGGTGTACAAACAAAAGGCTTTCTGGGAAACCTGCCTATCCAGTCCAGCTCTGCTGGCCCCTTTCTGATGAAGCAGTGGCCTTTACATAGGGTGTGTATCCTTCACTAAGCTTAACCTCTTAGCTTGCCTTGGCAATTAAATCTTTAATTTTTTTTTTTTTTAACTCTCACTTATTTTTCTTCCTTTTTCCATAGAACAAAATAAACTCTTGCCAGAGTTTATGGTGGTCATTAATGTAAATGATTGTTAATACAGTCAGAATTCCCTGACTGCAGGTTCTCACATTTCTCCCTGTCCTTTGAGTTCATCCTTGATCTTAAGTGGTGCAAAAATGCTGATATGTGTGGAACATTCTGAGCCCATGAATTACTTGATAATCAGATTATCTACAGGACTCAGGAACTTTTTTTTATGAGAGCCAATGAATATTAGTAAGGTAAGGTGACTCAGGCTCTGTCATGCCAGGAGAATAAGTCAGGCCTTCCAGAAGGGTAGGGGGGAATGATGCATGTGAACTCCTCTATACCTGTTTTTATGTTATGCTGTTGAAGCAATATGGGTCTAAGAAGACCAACAGTACAAATACAGCATCTGCAGTTGAGTTCTGTTACTCTGTGTATGGTTTTGAACAACTTTGTCAGCCTTTCCACCCCAAAACTATGGGATAGGAACAAACTATGGGAACAAACAAACTATTCTACCATGTCCAGGTAGAATTGTTAGTAAATATGGTGATGAGCATGGCTATATAGTAGTGTGGAGTGTGGGAATGTCTTCTGTGTGTGCGTGTTTTCATGTATGTGAAATTATAGCTTCACTAATGGGCCACACACTGCTGATTCCTTGCCGGTCACTCTGCCACTTGTAATGTTCAGCCAATTTTCTCTATTGGTTGCTGATAGTAATTAGTTGTACAGTTGAAAGGATGGCTGAACTTAGCTCTTAGATTCTTTATATTAGAGAAGCTACTATCTTTATCCTACTCTGTATAGTTGCTCTGTATTGTGATCAAGTGCTGTATTTAACAGATCTGATTCTTACTGTTCTGTTGCTAATAAAACTCTTTTAATTCTAGATTTGGATATCAAAACATCAGGAACGGGCTGTGTGAAGGTTCAGAAAATGGAATGTGATAACTGCAGAATAGAAACTGAGAAGGGGACTAGTGTCTTGCAGTCAATAAAGGTATGATGAACCCTTGTCTATGCCATCATTGTTTCAAAAGGCACTGTGTGATGGAGTATAGTACAGCAAAGTGCCGAATGCCAGCTCTACGGGTGAGAAATACTATGGTATTTCTAAGTATTACTGTGTGTGGGTAGCACTGTGTCTTCATTTATTGCGTACCATTACAACGCTAAGTCAGTAACACTAAATAACGTGAAGTAAGAAGTCCGGGCAACTTTGATAGCTGAAAGCTGCTGGAACAGTGGAAGCAGTGAACATCATTTCTGCTGTGCTCCTCCCCTACTGCACTCTCACTCCAAAATAAAAATGCTGGGAATTCCCTTCTTTGAACAGCAGACTTGATAGTTATGTTTGCTTAGATGGCGCTGTGAGGTACCTCGCTGTATGCCTCATCATTTCATCATTTCTTTTTTTTTTTTTCCTGTGGTATATTATTTTCTGAATTCTGATGTCTCAGTGCTTTTGAAACTCCTTAGATTAATGTGTAACTTGAAATGGAAATTACATGTCCGAAGTACCCAACTGAATATACCGATAAACACCGTGTGTGACATGGCTGTGAATGACATTGATTTTCTTGATCTTTCAACTTCACTTTTGCTGACATGCTTTTGTGGAAATAATCAAAGAATATCCAATGTAAGTGCTGTTTGGAATAAATTTCACTTGAATAATTGAGATTGCACCCTATTTTTATTTTTTTACTTCATTTTCCCCCTGGAGTAATTCCTTTAAGTATTTCTGAGATATGAAAAGCCTTTCAACATTTTTCTGTACAATAAGAGGTAGTTACGTAGCGTGCAGCTACATAAGTGTGAAGTTCAGGTTACGTGGGAATTCAGTGTACCATAGAGCTAGAGTTACTCCATAGCCTGTGAACTACAGTCTGTCTGTATCTTCCAGATTCTAATCGACCATATTAATCTTTGAAAGTAACTGAAGTTTGATAAGCTAACAGTGCTGTATGTAAGAGATATTCTAAAGGTTTAGTTAAAAATGAGGACTGTATATTAACAAAAAAATAACACAACCAAAAACTATGAGAAACTGCATAATGAGAATTATGCCATGAGAAACAAAGCAATTTTAGCCAGCATTATTGATAGTAATTGCAGGATATCATCAAAATTGCTGAGTTTTTGTAATGTTGAGTGAAAGTTATCATCCCTCAAAGTTCTATTACATGTGACGAGCATCTTTTGATACTTGAAAGATAAGAGATTTGAGAAAAGTTGAATTTTAAAAATGGAAGAATCATGGTTTTCTAAGAGACTTCAAGCAACAGTGAAGTGATGCTTGTTAATGAATTGAAAAGAACACTGTGAAGTAGGCAAAATGAGGCTTCTGAGCCCTGCTCCTCTGTGTTCTCACTGTAGTCTGGAGGAGCTTAGTGTTGCTGTTTCTTCTCCATCAGCTCTGAGCCTGCTTGATTTGGAAAATAAGGAAAATGTAAGGGAAAGCGATAAGGAGAAAGTATAATCCTTTCCCTGTGTGTGTGTTGCAGTGTTGGTGACCACAGGAAGCTTCTTAGCTCCTTTAGGCTCCAGATGAGAGGAACGACCTTGTCCCAGAAGGCAGAAGTCATTTAAAATGCAAAGAATTGAAAGTGAGCTGGGGATTTCAGTTGGAGTACTTGTTAAATAAACCTTCAGTAGCTTGCAAGAGTCTGCTTTCTCAGTTAGTTACCCTAAGAGTTCTTGTGAGTTGTGGGTGGATTCTGATTGATCTACCTGTTGTTCTGGTCACTGTGACTGCTTCAACATTTTCTACTACTGAAGATGTTGCCAGTCTTCTTGGTTTCTTGGCTATGAAGTAGCAGGTTAAAGAATTTGAATGAGAATTACCAACCATCTTGGTTTTTGCAGGTGCAAGCAATTGTCTGTTTACAACATCTTTTTGTGTACAGTCAATTTTGTCTAACCTATTTTTAAGAAACATAGTTCTGAGTTTTGCTGTAACTCAGTTTTCTGGTGTAGGCTTAAGATTTATATCCTGTAGTAAAAAACAGAGTTCTTAATCTCATGGGATTTTTCCCCAAGATTCTGAAAGTGCTTCAGGCTAGATTTTTTTAGTGCAGTACAAGACCTGATTCTGCCACGTGGGTAGAGTTATTTCATCAGAATGTACGGAAACAATAAGAATTCACGAATTCCATGTTGGGAACTTTGATTTTTTTTTTTTTTTTTTTTTTTCCTTCGTTTTCCCTTCTTAAAATAGTTGCTTTCTGCTCTGAAGACCACTTTTTCTATTTGTAGTCTTTCTGAGAGTCTTGTAATTTGTGGTAAATCTCTTGTTTGAATGTAGTTTGCTTACATTTTCCTTTTTTTTGGATGGGTATTTTGTGGTATTTTTGTTTGTCTGATTTTATGCAGCAGCCAGAAGTATAAGGGTTATTGCATTTTGACTTCTTGGCTTCTTTATGGAAGATTTGAAGCAGTAACACAGATATTTGTAAAATACTGAACTTTACTGTGTATTTGAGTGAAACACAGCAGGATCTGGTTCTATTTGGAGGCCTAAAGTTAGTTAGCACTTGGACTACGTCATATAGATTTATGGCTGTACAGACTACTCCAAGCATAAGCACTGAGGGTTGCAGCCAGTCTCAAGAAACAAACAGAAAAACACAGACGCAACACTGCATTGAGAATAAAGTTGCACTTGGCAGCCTTTTTTCACCTGTGTTTCTGGTTAGAATACAAGATGTTTTTAGGTTTGAATGCTTTGGAAGCAAGCAACACATCTGGCAGTTCAAAAGAAAACAGGACGATAGAAGTGTAAGTTGTGATACAACTTGTAAAAGGAGATACTTTGTGGTTGTCCTAACCATGTGAATTTAATTATTTTTTTCAGAGCCATAAAATCGATATACGAACAAATGGTGGCAAAGTAATCGGTCTTGGAACGCTCTATGGAAATACAGATATTCATGCAACAGGGAAGGGTGTAAGTAAGAATTGAGGCTTTCTCACCAATCACTTATTCAGCTTGTCTGTTGCAAAATGATGACATTTTTAAGGGCATACACTGAGGAATGTTTAATGATCATCGCTGGCTGATTGTCATTTCAATGTTAACTTATATTTGTCTGACCACACTACCTGATATAATGCTTTGTTTGGATAAGGTTCTATAAAAAGGCTCTGTAGAAAGAGGAGTAATGAACATGTTATCATTCTGTCACCACTTGAGGCTGGGCTAGCAGATACAACACGTGTGAGGGCCTACAAAATTAAAGCTGGAGCTTTTTAGTTGGCTGATGTTTAGGCACTTGGATTCTGCAGTAGGCACCTAGGTTTATTGTCGTGTCTCATATCAGGTCATTATTCATGTTCACATACTTTTCACCTCCGGCATTATATGATTTGTAAGAACTAAAGAGTAGAAAGTTCTGTATATTTCTTTGCATCAGAGGAAGCAATCACATCTAATCCTGCTGTGACCTGCAGTGAGAAGAACCCTGACAGCAGGAAGTTTCAGAGAAATAACCTTTTTTTCTCAGCAGATGGCAGCAGGAGACAAGCCTGATACTACCGTAATTTGGTTTTCTTACCACTAGCGGTCGATTCTTCATTATTTAGGATAATGCAGAGCTAGGATTCCCATGTGATGTTTTCACTCCTGATCTGGTTCTTAGGCTCAGCTTGAATTATAATTCAAGCCATTGTAATATCTGTGCAACTGGTTACATTAGGATTCATTAGATCTGAAGCATTGCTATGTGAAAGCATGGAGTCAGTTCTGGAAGTAGCTTGGTTGCTTGCAGAGCTCTTGTCAAAATCAGTGAGTACCCTTAAAACCAGCTGGAAGGAATCAGAAAGAGTTCAGGTAGCCTTCTCTAGCCTAGGGTAGAATTGAGACCAAGCTGGTAAGATCTTGCAGTCCAAAATTGCCTCTGAGGTGCTGTTTGATGGTGTTGCACACCTGGTCATTTAGATTCTGTGGTCACATGCTCACTTAGGTAGAGCCAGCTGTGAGCTGTTCTGAACTGCTGATGAAAAGTAGACTGCCAACGTTAAATTACCTGTGTTTCTTTTCAGTGGATGCTAGCCTTCCTGTTATGTAGAGAGGAACCCTAAGGCTGCTCTAGCTGAGCTATTGCTATTTCTTTATGAACATTATTTAATCCTAGCAAAACCTGTCAGCATAAAGCAGCATGGATAGATTCTGACTACAACGTGCTCTGTCATTGCCACTGTTGGACCGATCAGTGCAGATCAGTTACTAGTCCCTTTGGGCCTTCTTACTAAGTCAGTGGACTCCTTTGGGCCTTCTTACTTTCCAATGGTAAGTAAGTATTTCATGCTATTTAGAGAGTGCTTTGGCCACCATGGACTCATGCTCCTCACAGCCTACTAGCATGGTGGTCATCTTTCAATTAGTTGCATGTTGCCTGGTCATTTGTCCCAGAACTAGTTTGTTATGCCACTGGAATCCATGCAGTTCATTTCAAATAGCAGCTTAATCGTGCTGATCAAAATATGTAGGGAGATGAGATCTAGAGCTACATGGAAGTACATGTAATGGTTTTGCTTTTAATTCTTAATATCATTCATCTGCTTTTTTTCCCCACCCTCAGACATCCTGTCGTGAAAAAATAAAAAACTTCATGAAGATTAATCTGAAATTCTTATTTGTGAGCATAAATGTTTATATACTACGTAATATTGTTAGAAGTTGCTCCTCTGTTTGCAAAACCGAAGTAACTTAAGTGCAGTAAACAATTTTTAACAGGAATTTGTGGCTATGGAACAACTTAAGTTAGTGTTACTGAACTCATTTAAAAAAAATTGTTGCATACTTAGGATATCAGGATTTCTTCTCTCACTTGGCAACTTCAGTTAATAATCAGCTTAGATTACGTCTCCCATGTGTGATTGCATGAGATGTTTCTTCCATCAGTTGCGGTCATTGTGTAGCAATGGCTCTGTCAGCATTTCCAGGCCCTCCTGGAGCTGGGGAGGGGAAGGATGTGGTGGAAGACATTGAACACATGTGAGAGAGTATTCTTAAGGTGGGGAAAAGGAGAAGCTATTTGTAAAATGTTTGACCAAGAATAGCATGAAAAAGCAAAGCCAAGGAAAACAGAATATGTGAGGAAGGAGTTGTTCGTCTTATTTTAGCAAGGTGCTAGTTCTCATCTTGAAAATATGTTCAGGTGTGAAAACATATTCAACCAGATTTATGATGATAGGCTGACTTTTTTTCTTTAAAGGTCAAGAAACAGATGGAACTTGAGCATGCGGTCAGTAACTGTAACTCTGCAGCTTTACCCCAATGGGAGGGAGATTTCCCAGAAAACCTGGCGGCTGGATGGACAAAAATAATCAAATCTGTTTGACTGGGGAGTCGTTAGCTAATCTGTCTGTAGGGACTTTCCTCTATCACTTATTTAACAGAGTCAAACATCTGTGTTCTGCCAAAAAATGACAGGACTTGAATAATTTGAGATTGAAAACATATTCGATCTCAGTAAAAAGCAACCCTACCTTTTTTTTTTTTTTTCCCATGCTTTTCCTATCTAGAATATTTTGTCTTTTGAGCAGTCTTATTTTTTTTTTCCCCAGATTTAGTTTATTTTAAAGCAAATTTTCATTGCATTGGTGGCTTTTTTCAGTGAAGTGCTGTCCATTTACTTCTGTTTATCACGTACTTAGATTACTTATCTTATTGCTTTGGATTTTCAAGAGATAGGTGCAACTGATCTATCAGTGATCAATGAGCTTGTTTATAATGAGGTGCCTCATAAGGTATTTACCTTACTATGTTATTGTTTTAGCTGTATTAATATTTAGGCAATAGGTGCCTCTAGGCAGTTGATTTGCACCCAAACTGAGGGTTGCTCTGAAAGTAATACTCCTATCTTATTACACTGGCCCACAACATCAGAGGCAGATGTTGGTGGTATAGCAGTAGAGGTTGAACCTTCCAGCCAATATTCTGTTATGTGTTGCTGCTGTGCTGGCAGCGGAGGGCAGTCTGACAAAATGGTGTCTGACATGGAAGTACGTGCAAAGCAAAGGTGTGAAATTGAATTCCTCCATGTGGATAAAATTGCACCCTTTTGGCCAAGGAGACCAAAGACAGAATTAACATAATGAGGTGGTGGGTGGTGCATTTCAGCAATGATGGCAGCACCACGAAAGACAAGCTATGTTCTGGATGGCCATGCACAGCTGTCACCCTGTGAAATGAAGAGCGTCTCAATCAGCTTATCCATGTGAATTGGATTACAACTGGGGGTCTGTGTACAGAGCTGAATATCTGCTTCAGTGTGCTGGAAACGATGGTAGCAATGTTGGAATATCACAAAGGTTGTGTTGGGTCTCACAAATGTTCACAAAGAAGCAAAAGGAACACCACCTGCAAGTTTGTCAGGACCTACTGAACCATACAAGGCTGAAGGCAGCAGCTTCATGGATTGCATCATTACCAGTGATGAGATGTGGTTTCTCCACTGTGAGCTGGAGCCAAAACAGCAACGTGTGGAGTAGTGACATGTGAATTATCCATGGAAGAAAATGCTTCAAATGCAGCCCTCAGTGTGTGAAGTGATGTGTACTGTCTTTTGGGATAGTAAAGTGATGATCCTTCTGGATTTCCTGCAACTCAGACAAACCATCAACTCTGACCACTGCATTGTGACACTGGCTAAGGTGAAGGCTTGAAATTCTGGAGTCAGCCCTGTCTTAGTTTCAGCTGCGGCAGACTTGTTTTAGTTTGTAGTGCCTGGTATGATGCTATGCTTATATTTTTGGGAAAAAAAAAAAAAACAAAACAGCAATGTTGATAACTCGTTGGGAAGGGACAGGGTGAGCCAATGACTGTATGGTGCTTAGCTGCCTGCTGGATTGAACTGCAACAAGGCCAAGGAAGAAGACAGCCTTTCTCTTCCAGTAAGAAAATGCCATGCTCCATACCAGTTTGAGGCTGTGAAACACACTGCCAACCTTGACTGGGCTTTCCTGGACTGTAGTCCAATTCAGCGTCTTCTGACTTCCATCTGTTTGGGCTGATGAAAGATGACTGCATGGCAATGTTTTCCTAGCAGTTGTGAAGCAGTGTGTCACCTCTGCTGGTGCAGATTTTTATGAGGGAGGCACGTAGGTGCTTGTTCATCTCTGGCAAAAATGCATAGCTAATGGTGGTGTCTGTGCTGAAAAATAGTGTTCTTCAGCTGAGAATTTGCTCCCTCAAGCAGCATTGTTGTGCTCTTTGTTGTAGTTTCCTGGGAAATAAATATGAGGCGTTGCTTTCTGAGTGACTTATTTAATTTTTTTTTCCAAAAGTCATGGCTAGCTCTTAATTTTGCCCTGTTGATGGCAAGAATGGCTCTGCAAAAAGTGATTCTGTGCATTGCAAGTTGTTCTTAACTCCCTTCAGAGTAGGTTAAATTGTTGGTCATGGATGTGATAGTGGCTTTTCTTTTGCTTGTTGCTTTGGGCCTGTGCCTCAGCTGTTATATACTTTGTCATCCTCAGGGCCAATGACTAAGGGAATAGCAGAGTATTTTGTGAGAAGGATGCAGTTAATTTTTTTCGATGTCTCTACTGTTAAAGTTTGATTACAAGTGTCAAAATTCAAATTGCTGTCACTTCTGTAGCAACAGGTTGCTGTAGCTTCAAATTATGCCACCTTAATATCATTTTCAGTTTGCTGTTGATGCTTAGATTCTGTAGCATTGCTATAAAAGCAGCGGTATCTACAGGGATTGTAGATGCTGGCTGTCACATGTCTATAATTCTAGCACTACACTTGTGTAATCAGAATTTCTTGCGGATTAACACTGTTTATTACACTATGTGAGATGTACTGTGTATTCTAGTATTATATAATGTAAAATGTCTTACTGCGAGGCTCCATTCTATAACTTTGCTTAAGGGAAAAGGGCCCCATAAAACTTTTTATGTATGGAGTGCTATGATCACAGTATAATTTAGCTGTGATGCGGTCCCATGCCAAATCAGTTTCTTTAGCTAATCTCTTGTAACACAGTATTGTGTGGAATCTGTGTAATACTAGTTTGTCAGAATCTCTCTTACTCCTGCTCTGTATATAACATAACAAGGAAAGGGGCAGCAGACTTGCTTTTTTTGTACTGACTTTTTTTCCAGAAGATGATAATGTTAAATTGACAACATGAATTTCAATTGACTTAAGGCACAGCTTGATTAAAAAGGCCATATGTCATTCCACATGATAATAATTTTGTGCAATTCACTTGAATTTGGTATAAGCAAAGTAACAACAAAATGTTTAAGTATGATATGACCTGTCACGTGAATCATGAATCAAGTTTAACTGAAGAAGAGTAGAAGTAAATTACATGGTAGTCACATATGAGAATGCAACTTGTTCTGTTCAAATGGGCTTAGATTGTATCACAACTAGTTAATTGTATGTAGGTAACTCTTATCACTTTTCATTCCCCAGATCTATCCGCAGTGCAACTTTTGAAATGTTCTCCCTTTTCTCCATTTCTGCTGAAAAGAAACAGATGCTGTCACTTGTTTTTAAGGCTTTTTGTAGCTTGGGGCTTACCTCCAAATATAGAGGACAGTAAAATGAATGGTTTTGCTGATTGTTAGCCACAGCTAAGGGCAGCTGTGGCTCTTTTGTAATCTCAAACATTCACCAAAGCTGTGCCTACAGGGTGAACAAATTACAGCTCTTTGTGCAGATTTTTATGTTAACAAGAAAGCCCGTGGGTGTTTCGGTATTTGGTGCCAGAAAACTTGATTCCCAGTGCCTTAAGTGTCCTAATGATGCATGAACATTAAAGTAGTAGCTTTAATAATGAGAGCTAATTTCCAAAGCAAAGTTGTTTTTGTTTTTGTTTTTTTTTTTAAAATAAATTGAGCTTTTCTTTCCATTTATCTGTTATTCACTTGTCTGATGGATGCAACAATTCATAGAAATGCTGTAAAGAACTACCAACTTGTTTGTCAGAGCTCTTAGATGAAAATATTTGTAAAGAGGAGCTTTGCTTGTTCTGCACCAACAATTATCCATTTGTTTTCTCCTAATTCTGTTATTTCACTTTGCCTTTTCAAACCACTATGTTTTCCATTATTTTTATTTCTTAGAGCGTTAACATAGAGAAGCTGCAGGGGGCATCTATCAACATATCCACAGAAGATGGGCTCCTGAAAACTAAGTATCTCTATGCAGAATCTTCATCTCTCTCTTCAGTAGCAGGTGATATTCTGCTGGGAAGTATTCATGGTAAGAGCTGAGTTAGGGAAATTCTGTCAAAAATGTAGCTGCTTTGAAGGTATTCATAATGTTCACAGTAACAAAAGGACTAATGCTGTAGTCTATCTCTGTATAGTCAGCTGTGCACGATATGTGAGCAAAGCAATCCTGTATTTGCTAGGTACTTAATTGAGAAGGGCGAACTTACCACATAATATATTGTATTTATTTTTGAAAAGAATTTTGTAAGCACACAAATGGAATAGGAAACAAACATAAAACATATACTAATGAGGTCAAAATATTTTTCAAAGAAGCAATGACAATTATACTAAAGAAGACTATTTTTGCTAAAATCTTTGACATACAGCCAAGTTCTATAACAAATCTTCATAGAAGCTGTATGATCTACCTTACCTATGAGTAAAATAAAGCAGTCTCTTTCTGTCTGTGTGTGTGTACGGACACTGTATAGTAACAGAGTGGTAACAGCTTTTGTTATCTTGGGGGATGGAGGAGGGTGTCTCTCATCCATCTGCCCTTTACTGTCATTTATCTAGAACTTAATTTATTAATTTATTTATTAGTCTTTTGATATAAACAGTAGTCAGCATTGTAACCTAGTGTTTATTTTTTCTAACTTAATGAAGTTCCCTGACTGTACCATAATGCAATTGTGATGATTTAACAAGTAAAGCAAAGTGGAAGATGTTACAGGCTGTGAAAATTACTGAGGCCCATCCAAGTTCAAGTTTCTAGCTATACATTTATAAGCAATTTGCTGCAATTTTTAGCGGTTTTCTGTTATCTTGTTCCAGAAATGATTCTCCATTGTCCATTTATAGTAGACAAAATTGTTTTCTAAACCTGTGAAGTAAAGTTCACTTCAGCATGCATAGGCAGAAATAATGATTGTTTTGTTGTATTTGTATAACGTGTGGGCTGTTCTGCTACTGGTACTTCCAGCCAGTAAGCTGTTGAGGTTTTTGCTTTTTCTTCTGACTTCTGTTAGTTATGCTTTTGTGGAATAACGAGTTTGTGTTCATGCCTCTGTGCACATCCAGAAGTTTGTTTTATCGTGATACAAAGATGAAATAACAGCTGTTGTTAATGACATACCCCCTTTGTAATGCTTCATTATAATTTCACTAAGGAACAGTGTGAAAGCAAGTTCAACTGTTTCAAAATTATGCAAGATATTTCTAACATTACTTCAGAGTTATTTTCATGAGCAATCTACTAAATGGGACTGGAACACCTAACAGTATTTTAGCTGTTTCTTTTAAAAAGAAATAGTTTATGGTTAAGAAAAAGTTTATGGTTTTCACACACACAACTCAAATTTCACGGACCTGCATGAGTCCTGTTCTGTAGTTGAAACCTGGGTTGTATAATCCTAGTGGCTTGAGTGGAAACCTTGGCTCTGGAAGGGCCTGAACTGAATTAAAATTAGGAAATGAAAGACTAGAAACAACTCTAAAGAAATACTACAGTGATCGTGTATTATAGACCTCAAGTAATCCCATAATGGTAATTCTGTCTTCAGTACTTTTGCTCTCCAGTGCCTCAGATTATGGAGGCATGAGCATATCGTCAGAAGATAATTCCCTGTCACAAAAAGACACACACACACACACACACACACACACACACACACACACACACAAAGTACACCACCAGAGTAGTACAAAGAAGCAGGAGGCAAAAGTCTGTCTTGGCCTTTTCTTATTAAACAAGCTGAGTGTGTATTATGTCTACATAAGTCTTACAATGCTGAAATTACCTGGCGGTTTTGCTAGAGAATGAAAACTGCTTTTTTACAGAGCACCTGTATTACTGTTAGGAGGATGAATACAAGTAGTATTAGCACCTGACTTCTAATTTATTAGCTTGATTTCTTAATGTCTGTGAGATTTTATTCCTTCTCTCAGTGCAAGACTGTTGTTTGTACTTTTGTAGTTATTAAAAATCTAAACAGAATTTCAAATTTTACTTAGTTATGCCATAAGCATAACTTTTATGTTAAATTAAAAATGCTTGTCTGCAGAGGTGTATATTTTCACTCTTGCTAGGAGGTATGTGAATGATACTGTCTCAAAATTACAGAATAGGCAGATGGACCATTTGGTGGATAAGGAGTGGGCTGGATGGTTGTGCTCAGAGTTGTGGTCAGTGGCTGAATGTCCAGGAGAAGACCAATGACAAATGGTCACTGCTGGGATTGTGACCTGCGCTGTTCACATCCTGGTTGACAAGATGGATGGTTGGATTGGGTGCATCCTTAGCAAGTTTGCTGACAACACCAAGCTGTGTGGTGTGGTTGACATGCTGCAGGGAAGGGATGCCATCCAGAGGGATTTTGACTCGCATGAGAGGTGAGCCTGTGCCAGGCTCATGGGCAAGTGCAAGGTCCTGCAGCTGGGAAAGGGCAATCCCAAACTCAAATACAGGCTGGCTAGAGAATGGGTTAGGAGCAGCTCTGAGGAGAAGCTTGGGGGTGTTGGTTGATGAGAAACTCAGCATGACCCAGCAGTGTGTTTACAGCCCAAAAAGTGAACCATATCCTGGGCTGTATCAGAAGGGTGAACAGCAAGTTGAGGGAGGTGATTTTTCCTTTCTGCTCTGCTCTTGTGTGACCACCACCTGTATTACTGCCTTCAGCTCTGGGGCTCCCAGCATGAGAAGGATGTAGTCCTGTTGAAGCACGCCCAGAGAAGGGCTTTGAGGATGATCAGAGGGCTGGAGCATCTCTCCTATGAAAGCTGGCTGAGAGTTGGGGTTGTTCAGCCTGGAAAAAAAATAAGGCTCTAAGAAGGTTTTGTATTGGCTTTCTACTGCCTAAAGGGAGCCCAAAGGAAAACTGGATGGGGGCTGTATTTATGGGGTTTGTAGTGATAGGACAAAGAGTAATGGCCTTCAAGTAAAGAAGCGTAGGTATGGATTAGATATAAGGAAGAAATGCTTCAGTATGAAGGTTGTGAGGCACTGGCACAGGCTGCCCAGAGAAGCTGTGGGTGCCTCATTCTTGGACAGGCACAAGGCCAGGTTGGATGGGGCTTCAAGCAGCCTGATTTTTTGGAAGGTTTCTCTGCCTGTGACAGGGGAGGTGGGACTAAGCAATCTTTGAGGTTCCTTCCAGCCCCAACCAATTTATAATTCTATGATTTTGCAGGTCACTGCACCTTTTTACATAAGAGCTAACTAACTTTTATTCAATTAGACAGTTAGAATGAAGTGTCCAGAAATATGCTCTTATAGAATATTTTGGAGCTGATGTCACTATATTAAGATGCCCTTAGAATGGGGGATTTTAGTTTGCATGGAAATATCATTGAATGTACATGTTTGTTTCTGTAGTCTAAGCCACAACTGAAGTGAAGGGATTAAATAGTCCCAGTTGAATCTAATCAGTCTTGCAAGGAAACATAACAGTAGAGGTAGGATGATATGCATGTAGGCATTCTTAATTCCTCTTCTGCATGCTTCATCAGCATAACCCAGCTTCCTTGAGAGGAAGCAGAAACAGAAATAACATAAAGTGATGCCCTTATTTATATTCCCAAAGCTGGAATATTATATATAAAGAATATATATATACTCTTTTCTCCTTGGACTTGCACTGACCCTGTCTTGCAAAACTATATAGTCTCAAGCTTTTCGTATGTGGTGGAAAAGATAGCTCTTCAGAAGAAGAAAAACAAATCAAAAACGACTAAGCCACTGTAATAAATTTTCTGTTGAAACTATTAGGTCTTAGACTTTTCAGTGTTTGACTAAAATACGCTTCTCTGCACTATTTGTGGACACAGCAGGAAACTCCCATCTCCTTTAAAAGTAACTTCTGTTCTAACTAGGTGTTTGAAATCAGCCTATCACTCTAATATGTGTGCATTATGCAATTTTAGTCATATGCAATGTGACAATGTGTTTGTGATTGATATGATTTTGATTTCTAAACATTTAATGTTCTTCAAGGAACTGTTTAACAAAACAGAAGGGAGAAAGAAAACTGCAAAAACAAACAGCGGCAAATCCACAAGTCCTATATGAGTGCTATATTCAGATTGTGTGTAATCTCTGGGAGTTGCTGGCTGATGAAATGCTAGGGTTGTTTTGTAGATTGTATAAAAGTAAATACTAGTAATGATAAGATGGGGAGAAGGATGAGGTAATTATTGTGTGCTCTAAAAAAAAAAAAAAAAAAAAAAAAAAAAAGCAAAGTAAAAACCCAACAATGAAGCCAAGCCTCTTTCAAATCCACTGAAAAATTGTTATGTTTCAAATGTAATTTGCAGAACAGCTCAGTATTTTGTGCAGTATGTGCTTGAAACAATGAATTCGAGACTATTGATGATAGGATTCTTTTCTTGCTTTCAGTTCGTGGGCTGCTAAAGAAAACATTACAGATCATACAGTGGAATGCATTTTACCCTAATGACTATATAATTACTGTATGATTACAGAAGACAGGAGCAGAACTTGATCAGGATCTGGAAACTTCTGTGAATACTATGCCTTGTTAAATTAGACTAAATTAATGTGATCAGCTTTTCTTTTTATTTTGGTTTGTTATCCTTCTGGGTCAATGAGGGAGTAGGAAGAGTGAACTGTCACGGTTCAGTTTTTTCACTTAAAGCTTTTCTTCTGGTGCAGTACGCATGGCATAAATGGAAATATGAGAGCTTCTACCAACTTTTAGACTTTAACAGAAGAGCCACCCATGCTGTTATGAGGTACATCCCTCATCCTTCCACATATCTTGGTGCTTAATGTGGAAGGAATGTTTATTTTGAGATTTACTGATAACAAACCAGGGCCAGTTGAAAGTAAGCACTGGGAATAGGCTCCCCAGGGAGGTGGTTGAATCACCATCCCTGCATGTGTTTAAAAAGTGTTTGGATGTGGTGCTCAGGGGCATGATTTAGTGGAGGGCTGTTTCTTAGGGTAGTATGGTTAGGTTGTGGTTGGACTCGATGATCTTTAAGGTCTTTTTCAACCTGAGCAATTCTATGATTCTATAATGCAGGGTCAGTAAGAGACCATTCTGTGTCGTAGGCATTCTACACTCTTGTTTGATTTTCCAGTCTGCACAGTACACTCAGATCTCACTGAATTCAATGAAAAGCATTGTCAGTGGGTTGTTATATATGTAATAAGAGAAAGTTTGGAGGGAGTAGGTACAGTTCAGTGATTCTTTATGCAATTGTCTAGGAAACAACCTTTGAATATAAAGCAAAAATTCATGTGTTGGAGGATGAGGGACACATACATATTGACACACAGGAAAAGAAGGAGAATAGAAACTATTTTGTTATTCATCCTATTAAACTACTAAAATAATCTATAGTGTTGATGTGGGCGTCTGACCAACTTAAAAAAAAAAAAAAAAATGCAGAAAAATACTGTGCCTCTCTTCCTTTTTTGCTTTACTCAGACCAGTTTTTTTTCATCCAGGATAAGTTCTTTTTTTCCCATGTGTTAAGATTTTTTTGTTTGTAAAACAATAATATTGAAGCAATATAACTGGCTTATACTCTTGCTTTTATATGCAAAGCATATATCTCACTATGAGATCACATTATTTAATCTCTATTAAGATTTGAGAAGCCAGTCAAATAATCCACTTTTAATATTAAAATCTTATTTTTTCTTTCTTTAATAGGTAACACCAACCTTGAGACAAAAACAGGGAGTGTCACAGTAGGTACGTTATGTCTTCTCTCTAAGATAATTTTTCTCTCACTCTTTCCTTTTCAAATATGATTATTCACACAAAAAGAAAGTAGATAGTCTTATCTTCAAATTTTTCTGCCCTCATTCCTTTTATTTTCAAGAGCAGCATTCACTAGTGTGTATTTGAAAGATATTTTCCAAACTTGGCTCTAACAGCCTTTTGCAGGCAAGCCACTATACTCCCTGTGCTTTAGGCATTAGACTGAATCTAAGTATCTATAGATTAAGACTGGACAAAAGGGCATAAGAAAATATTAAGCGTGCGTCAAGAGTAATCATTTTGCCTTTAATCTAGCTCTGTCTTATGTTTGTTATCAGTGATTTGCTTTGTGTAATTTTCATATCATGTAACATTAATCATTGATGTATTGTGAGGTAGGAAAAAAGCTTGTGAGAGCCTAGTGATTCCAAACTATTACATTGATGACTCTCTCTCCCCTCAAGAAGTAGAAAGTTGGTCTTAAATTTCTTCTCAGTTAATAACTGTTACACCTTATCAGTTGCATTATGTTAAGAAACCGTGTGTGTGTGTGTATATATGTATATAGAATCTTATATAGATATATAGAACCTGATGTTCTGTATGTTGAGTTTCTCACTTTCTTGACCACTTTCTTGTTATTTCTCTGGTATTAAACTGAAATACAGAAGGTATAAATAAGACTAGTGATGGTTATTACAGTCATTTACTAAGCATCTTGCAGGACATGCTGTCCTGTTACAAGTCCTCTTATGTTTCTGAACAATCTATATTAATATTCCTGGAAAATGAATGCAGTACACATTCTCATGAGTTAGTCATTAAACCACAGAATTAAATCAAGCTTGCTAGTCTGTTTTTCCTTCTGTTAAATAAACTCATAGAATATGAAGACTGCTTAAAGGTTTCTTAACACAGGAGCTAATTTTTTCCACCAACAGATGATTATTTTCCCTTAATTAACCTGGTTCAGCTTAAACATTTAGAAGCTTTGTGATTGTTGAACTAATTTTATTTCTCAGATTTTATTTCTGGCTGATTACAGTTAATCTTTTCCTGAAGAGGATTATGCCTCTTAATTTTGTATGAACTTTTCTAAAGGCAAATGGCTTTTACGATTCAGTGTTTCAACTCTGAAAACTTGAAAATGTAAAATTTATTTGCTAGATTTTTGTACGTGAGGAATTAATGCCACAAGATAACTCTGACTGTCCAACAAACTGACATTTGCTGATAGAAATACAAAGAAATACTTGCATCTTCTGACATTCTCAGTTGGGTTTTCATATGTATATAATTATTTAATTCTCTGCAGTAATAATTCTATCAGATAACTGAAAAATACAACCCTTTATAGATCTTGAGGATGTACCCTTCTGGAAGGTTTATTTAATAGGCAAAGCACAGTTGAGAATGCTGTGTTTATTTTCGAACTATTCAAGGAAAAAAAACAACACAATTTTGAGGAATCTCTTGTATGCTCCTATATTGAAACAGCAAACCAATGTTGTCTTTCACTCTAATTTTTATTGTTGTTTTTAGACTAGTTTTATCCAGCTCATGTATTTTTTTTTTATTTTGGGATATTTGTGTAAATATATGTTTAAAGATTCTCTCCAAACTTCAGTGTAATTTTAAGTATCTAGCACGTGTTAGTGTTCTACACTGTTACTGTTAAAATATGAAAGTAGCGACAATGCCTTTTCCCATACCATGAGCTTTGTTAGTCACTAACTAAATTGTTTGCCAACCCTTCACTAGAAGCATTTTACTTCTAGCATGTTCTGGGGATTTTGGATGACTTAATTTGAAGCAACTGTTTTAAAGTCTACTGCATGTTACTACTTAAAATAACTATTAGAAATTTAAACGACAAAAAACAGTGGACAGCTTTTTTTTTTTTTTTTTTTTTTTTTTTTTTTTTTTTAAGAATTTTTTTGATCTTTTAAAACTCTTATTTGCGAAGTTCATAGAAAAACTGAGGTTGGAAGAGTCTTCAGGAAGTCAGGCACAGAATGGTGAGTGTTAGAAGGGTCCTCTGGAGGTTGTCTTGTCCAACCCAAGTGCTTCGAGCAGTGCTGGCTGTGAGGTTGCTCAGGGCTTTATCTTGTAGTTTCGAAGATCTCCGAGGATGCAGACTATACAGCTTCCCTGGGCAAACTGTTCCAGTATGTAATTGCCTTCAGGATGAAAAAGATTTTCCATACATCCAGATGAAATCCTTCATGTTTCAGCTTAAGCCTTTTGTCCCTTGTGTTCTCGTCATCTCCCATTCTGAGGACTGTCTTTGACATCTTCATTGCTTCCTCGTGGATAGTAGGGAGCTAACTGTCAGGTTCTGAAGCTGCCTGTTCTGTGGGCTGCATAAGCCCTCAGCCTCTCCTGACTGGGAAATACTTTAGACCCCAACTATCTGGTGTTCCTCCACTGAGTTCTCTCTAGTTGATTGATGTCTCTCCTTTATCAGGAGCCCTAAAACTAGATGCTGTGTTCTAGATGTGGCTAGCAAGTACTGAGTGAGTCCCTTCCCTTAGTATACTGGCTATGCTGCAGCTGATACTGTCAGGGTTACCATTGGCCTTCTTTTCTGCCAGGGTGCAAGGCTGACTTGTGTTCACTCCAGCTAAAACTTGTTTGTTCCTCAATGTTATTGTTATTGTCTGACTATGTATTCTCTACTCTGCTGCCAGACCAGATTTTCCTCTACCAGCTCAAAAAAATAAAGAGAAAATTCTTATGGTATTACTTTAACTCAGGGGAAATGGCTTACAGGTTTGATGGCAAATTGACACTGGTTTATAAACACCAGGAGCTTACTCTGGAAAGCAGGAATGTATATAAACATCCAAGAAATCCCTTATCTTTTTGTTTTTTCTCTTTTATGGATGTCAGTGTCCGTTGGCATTATTCTGCCAGCTTCTTTCTTCAGCAACCAATACTGGAAGACCAGAAGGCTTCAGTGACTTCCTATGGTAGACTCACTGTCTTAAATGACCTGAAACCTAGCAATTACAGCAAAGTTTCAATTTTCTTGAAAATATGCAGAGTATCTCCTTACTATTTCTGAATGATCCTCACATGAAAGTGAGCTGAAGTATCTAAGACTTCTGATTTAAGAATGTTCTCATAAGGTAGTTCTCTTCTCTAGCATTGAGGCAGAATACCAGAATCTTATTTTCAGAGGTCTTTGAATGTGAAAAACAGTGTTTGTTTGTTTGTTTTGGACAGCTGAAAAATTAAACAATAAACAGCTTATTTAGCAAGGTTGCATCTGATTATTTCTTTTTTCCCCTCTCCTTGAGCATTTGATTTTTAAAATGTACTCTATGGGAATTTTTAAATAAAAAGTCTGATTTCAGAATTCCATTGAGGCCATTTTTTTTGTACCATCCTACAGTAGTGTTCATATATACTTTAAAATACATATTTGTTAACCATGCACACCCTTGTGTCTCAGTGCTTCAGTTGATCTAGTCTTTGCCACCTACATGAAATGTGTTAATGTATTTGTCCTCATTTTAAGCAGCCTTTGTCTTCCAGTCTCCTATCTCAGATCTTGGTCTCAGAACTTGGCCTTGCCTCTGCTGATGGCAAATTCTTTTTCCTTTGTGCCCATGCTTTCCCCTACACCATCTTTTACAAAGAATCCTGCTCTCCGGAGAGAGAGACTGGAGTCAGCTGCATTTTCTCATCCCTCAGGTGCCAGGTTATTAAAAAATAAAAATAAAAATAAAAAATTAATAATAAAAAACTTAGTCTGCTGCGTGTTAATACTTACTGAGTTATTACCTCTGTTTTCTCTTTCCTCTTCCCTTTCTTTATGTCCTGTTGAACGTAGAGTGTGTTTTGGACAGAGCTTATGTATTGGAGAAAACAGTTAATGGTTTTGAGAATACAGTAAAAGTAGGTGTTGTCTGGGTGTAGTGTCATTTTCCTTGCAGCTTAGAAAACCACAATTTTTTTTCTTTTGGATGTGTTCAAACACTAAGCCATGCTGATGATGCTGTGATGATTCATTGCTTCTTACGTAATGACAATGAAAATTCCCAATATTGTTACAATATTAACTTTTAGATACCTAGTGTATTGGAAGCAATATATTTTTTAGAACTTTTAATGAGAGATTATGTATTTGCAGAATGTACATCTTGCAACAGTTGTCAATACCCATACCTTTATAGGTGAAAAATGAAGTATACACACTTCATGGAATCATAGAGTGGCTTGGGTTGGAAGGGACAAAGTCAAAGATCACTTAGTTCCAACCTCCCTACCACGGGCAGGATTAACGTCTACCAGATCAGGCTCCTCAGGAACCCATCAAACCTGGCCTTGGGCACCTCCAGGGATGGGGCACCCACTCCTGTGGGCAGCTGTGCCAGTGCCTCACTGCCCTCTGAGTGAAGAATTTCTTCCTAACATCCAAACTAAACCTCTCCTCTTTCACTTTAAATCCATTCCCCCTTGTCCTATTGCTTCACCCACAAAGGGATGCTTTTGTTCCAGTGCAGAGTTAACTAGTCTGAATTGCAGGCAGGAAAAATAAAACTAGGCATCCAAGTATGATCCAGTTCTGGTAACCTCTAACGTGCAATATTTTCCCTCATACAGATACAATGTCTGAAAGCTTTTCATAATTGCCACAAATGGAAAAACAATTGATATATATATATATTTAATTGCTTTCTTCCCTCATGAGTTTGGATATTCTGAAAGATCCTACCTGACCTACATTAGGTCAGAGGCTTATCAAGATGAAGTCATACTTGACACATTGTATTGTGGTGCAGGATGGAAGAGTGCAGTTATTTTCTTTTTTTTGCCAGCAGAACAGGTTATTCACAACAGACTATGGCCTTTAAAAGCAATGGTTACAGTTATAAAATCTGTGTGGAAATTAGGGGTTGAAAAATGTTCTGGACAGCTTTGTTAGCAACAGATTTGTCTCCATTTGCTGTTGTTATAAATGTAGCATAGCTGATGTTTACTACAACAGAGTTATTTTTCTTAAAGCTTAAAAACTAACTTTTTGTAGTAGCAGTAGTAAATTCTTAAATAGTTGAGGTTGCTCAAGAGTAATCATCTGTTCTTTTTGCAGAACAATTCATCCTTGTATTTCCTCTTGAACTGTCAGTCCCTAGGAAACTGAATTTTAAAGTATGCTCCTTTTCTTGTTTTTACTCCTGTTATTTGCATTAAAACCCAGTTAATGATGGATGTATACTTACACGTAAAAACTAATTGTCTCACTTCTGTTGTGTCTGAATTGTGAACTGTATATTGTCTCTATTAACTATTCTGTCCTTCTAGATTCTCTTATTTAATGTAAGGTAATTTTTCTTGTTAAAATCTTGATTTATTTGAATTCACCTATTTGAGTTGTAGAACTTTGTCATCTCTGTTTTTAACCCCTTTTCCTGTTCTGCCATCTTCCTGCTTCCCACTTATTTACATATAGAGATGCAAACCTTAAGCAGCATTAAAAAAGATGGGCTTTGTAGAAGTCATGGGCAACTTTACGTCTTTCAGTGTCTGATTTGATGTCCATAAAACTTTTTCTATCAATCACATTTGGTTGTTCGCCTAAAACATGTTTCCTATTGTTTCTGTTGATCTCTTTAAAGTTCCATCAGCTAGCTGTGCTGCCCAGACTGCGAGCAGCTCCCCCTGGAGTAGCTGTTTCCCATCACAACAGGATGGTGCTTCTTTACAGAGCAAAGAACTAATAATATGCTTTGTTTAAAAAAGAAGAATTAGAGATTGGATATTTCCTGTATCTGTTGACAACAAACTCTGTCAGGGATATATGGATCATAGAATCACAGGATGGCCTGGGTTGAAAAGGACCACCACGATCATCCAATTTCACCCCCCCTGCTGTGTGCAGGGTCGCCAACCACCAGACCAGGCTGCCCAGAGCCACATCCAGCCTGGCCTTGAATGCCTCCAGGGATAAGGCATCCACAACCTCCTTGGGCAACCTGTTCCAGTGCATCACCATCCTCTGTGTGAAAAACCTCCTCCAACTATCTAACCTACATCTCCCATCTTAGTTTAAAACCATTCTTCCTTATCCTATTGCTATTCACCCTTGTACTCATGGATATTCAGTGATAGGCTGTTACTACATTTGATTGCAAAAAGTAAAATAGTTTTTTATGGGAAAATGTCTATCTGCTGGTACCAGTTTTTTTTATTAGAAGTTTGACTCATGTAAACATTAACTGTTTCCCTGTGACTGTCATTTTCAAACTTAAATATTACAAACTTTAAAAAAGTTACCAAGAAAATGCTTAATTGTGACCTACCCAAGCAAAATCTCTTATCCACTTAATTAATTTCGGGTAACAAAGAGTTTATTTGTTCTTTCAGAGCTGGAACAGTATTCCTTTTACATACAATCCACTGCATGGGAAAAACATTCACAGCCAGTTCCAGCTGTTACAGGTTTCTTGTTGGCCAAAGATGGTGTCAGTTTCTCAGCTGTCTAAATCAGGATTGCCCACTTTTTTGTTGCTTTTCCCTCCAAAGAACTCACTTCTAGCTGAGGGATAATAATCCCTTTCCATGTTTTCTTGTAATACACTGATCTTCCACATCTGCTCCAGATGTGAGATTGAGGCATTAATGGTGGACATCTTTGTTGTGATTAATTGAGTTCCCCAGTGAATATTTTCACTTTTGAAATGACAAATTTTAGTCAGGTTTGATTTTGTTGTTTTAGCTACCTCTGAAAACATGACTGTGCTTCTTGTTCTGTTATTTACTTAGTGGAAACTAAGGAAAATATTCTTCTTCTGTGTTTCAAGATAGTTTTGGTTAATATTTTCACTTCCAGCAGTCTTCCTAATTTGCTCACTTAAATTATGTGATTTTTCTTCACACTTCTCCAGAGTTGCTTTGTAATTCTTTTGCAATTTTTATCAGCAGTAGGTCTGTTTGGTAGCTCAAAAGTGAACTCTGTAATATTGTGGAAAACTGTGTGTAAATCCAATTGGAATAGATTGCACATTGTTTGTATACCTGAGAAGTAGCCTTTAATAAATGTTTTCTGTTTGAGAATAGGGCTTTTGAGAAAGTTCTGCTTTCATAAATGGCAGCTAGTGAGCTATAGAAGAAAGTGTGTGCCTATTTATTCCGGGGCAAAGAATGAATGTTGTTTTCTTATGCGTGTTAAATTGCAGCAGTTACTTCAGAAATTCTTCTGTCACCACATTGCAACGCACAACTGCTGGTCCTTGGCTTATGGTATTTTTGTGGGTAAAGCTGCCCTGCCCAGAGTGGTTTTTAGTGCAGTTTTTTAGTGGACAACTAAAATAGTTCAGATAGTCCATACAAATATGAACTTATCCTTGTATTAGGAGGTGGACATGCTTATAATTCTGGTTTGGAAAGAGAAGTTTTGATCAGAAGCCTGTTTTTCTCAGCAAAGTCTGACATTCAGTGCTTCAAAGGAGTCTTTTACGTGGTTAGATAGCAACAGAATAAAGGGGAATGGTTTTAAACTGAAAGGGAAGATTTCAGTTTGATGTTGAGAGGAAATTCTTTACTCAAGGGCTGTGGGTGCCCCATCCCTGCAGGCACTCAGGGCCGGGTTGGACAGGGCCCTGAGCAGCTGAGCTGTTGGGGGGCAGCCAGCCCGCAGCAGGGGGTGGGGATGTGTGGGCATTAAGGACCCTTCCAACCCAAGTCTTTTTATGAGGATTCATTAAATTAACAGCGAATATTAAACATACAGGAATTTATGAAGTTAGTTCAAAGGGCAAAAATAAGATTATTGCAAATTTTTTTCTAAAAGTGAACAGTAGCACCTTTCTAAATGTACACAAATCCTTTCATTGTTTTTTTTTCTTTTGTAGATTCATCAGATGGAAGTCTAAAAGCTTCTACACTTCATGGGGCAATAGATGTTTATGTCAGTCAATTAAGAGAAGTGGATCTGAAATCCCAGAAAGGTTAGAAAACTGCAGCACGTTTTTTTTTGTTTTTTTTTTTAATGGCAATTTATGATATAAAATAAAGAAGATTAGGGTTGTTGGTTTTTTTTTTTTTTTGTCTATTTAAAATGATTATTACATGATTTTTGGTAATTTGTGTTCTTTTTTACCTCATGGTTAAAAAACGTATATAGATACTTAAAATGCAGTAAACTCAACAAGGTACAATGATGCTTTAAAACGGATTACAGGTTTTTTTTTTTCTTTTTTTTTTTTTTTACTTCTTTAAATACTTTTTCTTGGTGATCTATTCAGTAGAATTCTGCAGAGTTGACTTGGGTTATCTTTGTCTTGAATACAGCGTAATCCATGCTGCTGGTATATATTACATGCATATTCACTGATGACCAACATACACTGACATTTCTTTTCCCTGCTTTTTGTTGATGAAATGTTCTGTTATTGAATCAGGAAGGCAGAACAATAAATGTGAGAGTGCCCTCCACCATTCTTCCTGGCTTTCTTCCCCTCCTGTCTACTCACTGTAACTTTGCACACTCCTAGAGTTTATCATTTTTGCCATTCAGAAGAGATGATGTTGTGAATAACTAAGCACTAAAGATATCTTGTTAGCCCTAACTTTGCAAAACAAGCGAAGAAATCCAAAACTACAGCACTCTTTATGTTAACATGATGTCAGACAGTTTTAAATGAATGTGGTATTTGGTAGTTTCCTCTGCTAATCTGAGAGATAATCTTATGCCCTATTACATGTAGCAGTTAATCACAAGGGAAATAATGAAAAAAACGGATTAGAATCATTTATGCCATTCTTCTTTATATGCCGTTCTGGCTTCATTGGTCTGAGTAAATTTATTTTTATATTATATCTGAGTTGCATTTTGAATCACTAAGTCATGTCTCTTTGATTTAGTAGCAAAGAAAAGTGTATTTAACAAAAGCTAGTTAATGTTATTTTGGAAACACTGCCTGATGGCTCTTCTGGCAGCACAGTTTAGTTAAGGCAGAGTTGATAAAGTTCTGTTTTCATTTACTATGTAACTTTGGAGTAACTGCTGACAGCTGCCGAGTAGAAAATGTCCTATTTGTGATAAACGAGTTGCATGTGTTGGATTTTATGAGTCACGTCACTGAGCTGCTCCCAGAGGGGAGGACCAAGGAAAAGACTTTTTCCTCTTTTATCCTATTGCTTTTGTGCATCCAGCAAAATTTAGGCCTAAAGTCTTGGCAGTTATTTTTTCTTCAGGAGTGTGACAGGCAATGGATTTGTGCAAATGTAAACTGCATAGCTTGGGTTGCTTTCACGCTGCTACGCAGCTATTACATCAGTTTTGTAACTGTGATCTGCTTCAGCTTTTTGAATGTAATTAAAGAAAGTGTGAAAATGTCTTATTTTTTTCCAAAGTGAATGTTAGAGCTGGGTAGAAACTAAGGAGTATGTATGTAGAATGCGTATTTTGATTATTGCTAGTTTTAGTATTTTAGTGTGCAGTGTGCAGCTTCCAAACATTGCAATTGAATAATTCCAAATATGATGAACATTGGCAGGTTGGTGGCCCAGTATTTGCATTCAATCTGCTGCACAGAAGCACTTATTTAGAGGAAAAAGGATTCCTACATATAGACCCTTTTTTTTTTTTTTTTTTTTTTTGCCAGCATTAACAGTACACAAGCAGGATCCCATCACTGCAGAGGAGCAGTTCTTCTCTAACATTCTTGTGTTGTGCTGCGTGCAGTAGCTGGATTACTCATTAAATCAAACCTTGTGTCCATGCTCAGGAGTGCAAATACACAACTGTAAGATGAAACCAGAGTCATAATACTTGTGTCACTTGTTTTATTTGCTTCCTTAGGCCTCCCTTGCAATAACGTCCTCTAGCAAGAGCTGTTTCTGGTAATGTATGGCAGTGTGAATTCTCATGCTGCCTGAAGAAATACTGCGGTTCTATTTTAAATGTGACGTACAGTATTCTGATTATGAGAAATGAAGTTATCTTTATTAATCTCATGACAGAAAAAAAGAGGTTACAGTGTCTGAAGGACTGTTTGCCTCAAATTTGCTGTATAATGGCCTGTTTCATGCTTTGATCTCAATGTTAATCTAAGCTTTCATTTAAATCTGTCAGGTTCTATAACAGTCAAGGTACCTGCCTCTCTCAAAGCCTACTTAGAGTTGTCTGGAAGAAAAGTGGATGTGAGCTCAGAGATCGAGTTAAAAGAGACACGGCGTGCCTCCAAAGATGATCACGTAACTTTAAGCGGTAAGGCTTACTAAGCTTGGCTACCATTAAACGTCTGTCTGGCATCAGTCAAAGACATCCACATTTTCTTATGAGCTTGTTGCTCTTGGCCTCTTCTTGTTTCATCTGTTTCAGATTTCAGATATTTGCTTGTGCCATTGAACTCTCCTTGTTTCTAGGTGGCTCTTTCATTTTGTTCGGTAAATGATTGTGAATGCAAACAACTGCTTTTTTAACATCTTAGATGTTAAACTCACTCTCAACATTATTCCATTGAATTTGTGGGATGTAAGCCAGGGCTTTGTTGCCTTAAGCAAACTCATGTAATAAATTGCCAGAGACTATCAATTAAAAATACACTGAAAAGTTTTCTCTGCATAGGTAGGAGGATGAATTAAAAGGTATGTTTATAAATGTACAGTATGAATGTTAAACAGGGTGGGGTAGTTTGAGAAGTGATGGGTGGGAGGTGGCTGGGAACAGAAGTTGAAATACAGAATAAAGGATCCGTGAAAAGGTGTCTGCGGTTACTGGGAACATTCTTCTAACAGACTTAAAATTGCATTTGGGAATCCCAACTCTTATTGATTCCTGCGTTAGAAAGCAGTTACACTTTTCATTGTCTGGGTGTGTACGTCTCCTCTTCTCCAGACATGTCCATCTCCAAGTTGAGGCTCTTACTGTTACCAATTACTCAGTTTGCTCAAGAGGCAATGCTAATATAATGTGTTGAAGGCTCCAGCTTTGTTTTTGAAAGCATTATGTCAGTGTGATCTGATACAGTAACAGACGGGTGAGGCTCTGAGTTTTCTTTTGTTTGAAAACTAAGAAAATCTTTTCAAAATTTCTTTTCCTCTCCCATGTAAAGTAATAACTCCTGAGTTCTCACAGGTAAGAAATGTTAGAAATGTATGTTAATAGTACGTAACCTGCTTGTGCTCTTGAAATGTATGAACATATCTCCTCCTGCACTGAACAGTAATGTGCTTCTAAATTTGTTACTGATTATTAAATATAATTTTTTTAAAACCTTGTTTAAAACTCCTCAGTAACTTGTGGAAGGGCCCTTGATTCCAACAAGGCTCTAGGTGGTGAAGCGCCTCAGCAGCAGAGCAATGCATTTCCTTGTTGCTAATCATCCTCCTACTCTGGCAGCATTAAAGATAAAATTACTGTTTCAGCTATACACAGCTCAAAGGCTTCTCTGGTTTTGCAGTCCACTCAGTGTTTTTGTAGTGCCATCAACACTGAAGCAGAAGCAATTTTTCAGCCTACCATACCGTATCTAAACGATTCTGGCAGGTTAGCTCCAATTAGTTAATTCTCAGATATTTGTATCCCAAAGCCACAGAAATAATCAGGAATTACGCAGAGGCAGCAGCATTTGGCCACTGCTCACTGATTGCTTTCAAAGAGGAGTTGCACAAGAAGTCTATAAAATGTACGTATAAGTTTGTCAGAATACAGGTAAATGGAAAACAGACCCTGGAACAGATTTTCTGCAGGGTATAGTGCTGGGCTGAAGTGACTCATCTTCATCTGCCCTACACTGGGCATTTAGCTTTCTTAAATATTTTCTTATGTATCCAATGATTTTTAGCAGATTTATTCTGCCCTTTTCTTCTCTGTAAAAGGCACCAAACCTAAAGGAAGATGAATTAATTGGTTTTGAGGTATGCTTGGTTCCTTTTCTTATTCCTTTGAAAATTGTACTTTCTGTTTCTTTGACAAGCCAGTAATGTTCCTTTGACATGGCAAGGGGGAGGCTTCCTGCTTCTCGTCATAGGGATGCTGCGTTCTTTCTGCAGCCAAGCACCTGTCTTCTCATTCCCAACAATCTCTTTACTGTGTCCAGTTCTGGGCTCCCCAGTACAAAAAAGACGGGAATCTCTTGGAAAGAGTCCAGCGGAGGGACACAAAGATGGTGAAGGGCCTGGAGCATCTCTCCTATGAGGAAAGGCTGAGTGAGCTGGGTCTGTTCAGCCTTGAGAAAAGGAGACTGAGAGGGGACCTGATCCAGGTCTATAAATATCTAAGGTGTGGGGGGCAGAATGGCGAGGCCGGACTCTTCAGTGGTGAGTGGAGACAGGACAAGGGGAAATGGCCGGAAACTGCAGCATAGGAAGTTCTGCACCAATGTGCGCAAGAACTTCTTTACAGTGAGGTGACGGAGCACTGGAACAGGCTGCCCAGGGAGGTGGTGGAGTCTCCTTCTCTGGAGATGTTCAAGACCTGCCTGGATGCCTACCTGTGCGACCTGCTGTAGGGAACCTGCTTTGGCAGGGGGGTTGGACTCGATGATCTCTGGAGGTCCCTTCCAACCCCTACAATTCTGTGATTCTGTGATTCTTTTAGAAGCTGATATTTGAGAATTTTCTTTTAAGTGTAGATTCTCAAATAATTAAAAGGGATTTAATGCTGTTTCTATATCATGAAAACATTGTTTATTGTTGAAGTTTTAGGTACAGAGATGACGGATGTCTTTCTGCTGCAACTAAAGAAGTACAAATGGGGAAGGGAGAGGAGTTTTGCCAACTAGAGAAAAAAAAACCCAAAAACTTCAAGAGGCATGGCAGCTCTGAGCTCAGAGATTAATTTAAAAATAGATGTATTTTCAGAAACCAGCCAGTTTTCATGTGGATGAGATGGGAACTGGCTGCTTTCAGGAAGCTGTTCTTGACTCTGGGAGTGTTGTGTGAGATATGAGAGAGGAGGTTTTCCAGTGAGAACTCTGCGACTTGAGTAAATATGCACCTGGGTTGTCACCTGCACTATGTGACACAGCCTTCCCTCCTGCTCTTAGGGCAGGTATGACCCATGTCCTCATCTTGCTTCAAGGCTCCTGCTTCCACAGGAGTGAGGAAGGTGGCACAGTAAGGCTGTGTGAGCAATCACATCCAGGATTTTGCAAGGCAGCTGAGGAAAAATGATGTGGATTTCATCAAAGCAGAAGGATAAAAGAAGCGAGCACTTCAGATGCAGAGTGATGAAACTATCAAAAGGTTTTCTCTTTCAGAAGAGTAAGGGACTTGCTTACAAAGCTGGCATGCTTGTCAGGGAAGGGATGGAACCAGGGAACATGCCGGGTATTTTATTCCTCAGAGTAATTTGCGGGAATAAGGATCTGTTTCCATTGCCATCAGTAGGCACTCTTGTAGTATGGTACAATGAAAGTTATAAAAACAGATTTTTCATGCTAAGTACTGGTCCAACTTCCATCTGTGAAAGCATTTCTTTTCCTGCCTCGTTTGAGAATGTTTAAGTAAATCCAGTAATTTACAATAATAATCATGTCAAGACTTTTTTTTTTCCTTCACACAGCAAAGAGGGTAGGAAAAGAGGATGTCCTTGTCAAGTAGGCTCTGTAGCTTCTTGCACCTCATAGCCCTTCCTGCAGATGTGTGTGCCTTCCCCATTTCTCCAGGCTTGCTTTTATCCAGGAATCAGCTTGTCTAAGAAGCCTGTAGAGACCATGAACAGCATCCGGAACTACATATGGTAACGGGAGAGGTACCAGTAATTGATTCTGTAATTTAAGAAGATAAGGTAATTAGGAGACTCTCAAGCCAAAGAGGCTACAAACATGTTAAATTAACTGATCAACATTCAAATAATCCTGATTTGTTTACATTTTAAGCCGTTTTTCCAGTATATCATTTTTACGTTTGAAGTGTGGAGGTAGGAACATATGCATTCCTAAGATGAGGAGTATTTGAGTAAACAGGAAGCAATAATGTTATGCAGTTGAAAAAACACAAAACCACCCAAACATAATAGTATATTAACAGGACTGTTCTGTAAAACTCAAAATAATCCTTTGGCTTTACTTGGCATTAGTAATACTTTGCTGGAATGTGTTCAGTTTCGAGTAGTCCACTTCAAAAAGGATATGAGGAACCGTAGGGAATCCTAAAGAGAGCATAAGCTCAGAGGTCAAAAACATCATTTATGGGAGGGAGATTTAAAAAGAAAAAAAAAAGTGCTATTTTCTTCTTAAGAAAAGGAATCTGAGGGAAGATGCACTTCTCTACTATGTCAGAAATTGCTGCAGAGATGAAACAAAATGTCCTCTGTCCACTGGTGATGGAACTAGAAATTATGATTTGATTTTACAGTAAGAAAGGTTAGCTAAATAGCAGGATAAACTTTTCAGTAGTAACTAATGGTCTGGAGAGGTCACAGTACTTGCGCTGTAGCAGGTTTTGAAGAAGGACCTAGGCAAGCATGTCAGATTAAAATACATTGGAGACTGCTTTCATCTCTACTTCCTCTTCTTCCAAGCTGATGTGGCCATCTGCTCCCCACAACTTCAAAGTAATTGCAGGGAAGGTTATGAAGCATGTGTGTGGATGAATCTGGGGAGTAAATGAATGCAGCTATTGACATGCTTACATTGCAAGCTTATGTTTTGACAATTTAAGTTTCCTGGAAAAAAAGTCTTGCAGTCATTCCTTGATGGTGTCAATTTCCAAATCAAATAGTCTGGAATATAATCCATCTTTTACAACATGTAAATCTTCTGTCTCTCAGTGGTGCCAGTGACTCATCTGATTCCAGATCTTTCTCTCCCCCGGCCCAGTCCTAGTGCCAAGCTGATATCCAGCAGCAACCTTTGACATGGTGCCATCCATCTACTTGGAGCTGAGTGAGCTTTTAACTTTGGTGGTCAGTTGCTCAATCTGGCTTTCAGCACCAAGTGTCTTTGGTCCAAGTCCCACAGTGTCACAGGTGCTCCTCAGTGGCTGTGGATGTTTGTATTTACATGTTACCACATCCCACTGTTACTTCCTCAAGCTGACAAGCCAGTCCCTTCATACTTTTCTGTTATTTTACTAATAACAAACATATTCTTTGTGAATGCTTATCTTCTCTCAAGTCAAGAAGCATATCTGCTCCCTTATTTTAGCCAACATGACAACAGTTGCAAGAGTTCAGAGGATGTAGTTTGGGGTCTAATCTCATCAGTCTACAGCACTAACACCTTGCTGAGCCTTATCTGAAGGCTGCTTCTCTGAGCCATGTCACCTGTTGACCATGCACAAGAGTAACCAGGACTCTTTCCTTCACGTTAACGTAGGCCTTTCCCACTGTATCTGTTCCTGGTGATGGAGAGAATCTCCTGTTTTCTAATCTTCTTTTCTTGTAAAAGCTTCCAGACACATGTTGCCTCTACAGTATGCGTTGACCCATCTCCAGTTATTCTTTCATCACTAGGAACACATTCTATACCCGCCTTCCTCATTTGCTTCTGGAGAAAGTGACTCCAACTACTGGATCCCTTTGGTAGAACGGGTGTCACTGCCACCATCCTATTTCTGACTTCTCAGGTTTCTCCTATAACACAGTTCATGTCTTTCTACCCTGCCTGGTTCTCCAACACGACCGTGGTGAGGAGCACCTTTACCTTCAGAGCAACTGGGCATGCAGTGAAATAATAAGGATTTCATGTCTGCTTGAGGTTAGGACTGGATTCCTGTCTGGGCCTTATTGGATTTAGACAGATTGTTTCCTACGTAGGTCTTCTCATCTCTCACAGAATGGCTCCTCATCCAGCAGTAGTGGGAGAGCTGCCTATGTAGTACTGTGGGCTTACGTTTAGTTTTGCTTCAAGGATTGGTTTATCCAGGATGCGAGGAGAGAGCTGACTGCATGAGCTCCATGAGCTTTGTACACCATCTGCAAAGCTTTATGGGTGTATTTTGTTATCAGAAATTTGTATTATTTAAGATAATTTTTTTTGCTGCATTGAATTCCAGAGTTAAACACAAACACAGTAGAAGGGGGAGTGAATAATGTGAGGCAAGCAACTTGCCTCTAAAAGGGAAATAACTGAAAGAACATGTGTCACAGCCCTCAGCTGAAACCTAAGTTTCTTCTGAAACTTAGCAGCTGTGAAAGCACAGCGCTCCTTTTCCACACTTTGCAGCTGATTTGTCTCTGCTGTATTCGAAGTTTCAGTTCTGATCCCAGGAGTAACCCTATTAGCTGTTGTGTCCTTTGTTATTTTCTTTGTTCTCAAGGCACTTCCTTAATACTTCCCTTCTTTTCTAGAAGCACTTTCTATTGAATCTTTGCCACTAGGTCCAAGTGGGAAGAGCTTTGTTTTGCAGATTTACAGTGTCCCTCTAAACACTGTCCCTCTTTGAAGCCTTGATCCTTAAAGCAGTATCTTAAAAAACAAACAAACGCCCAGGTTGTATCTGGAAAAAGATTACATTCCTTTAAGTCAAATAAGAAGTTCATCCAACTTTTAAAAAACGCATTAGATGAGATGCTATCCTACGGATTTTTATTGGTTTCAGCTTGTGTTTAACTCAAGCTGTATGCAGCAATTTTGGGATGCACCACAGTGTTTAGAAAACCAGAGAAAAGCATTTAAAATCTTGCTTATTTTTGTACGTGTTATGATATGAACATAGAACTACTTCAGTTTCTCTGGCCTACAGTAAGGCATACGGATCAGTGATCAATTCTTGACTGCATAGAGTTTTGCAAAGACCTTCTCTGCCTTGGGCACATGTGGAAAAACTTCCTTTTTCCTAAGTTTTATACTGAGAAGGTGGCCATGCAGCATATTGATGCATCTGTCTTTCCCTCAGTTCATGCTGTTGACTGGTGGGTTTTGAAATGCTTTTTTTTGTGATTTAATCATGCTAAAAGTCATCCTCAAAACCCGCTTAACGTTCCCACAGTACAGGCAGTTGGGTATCATTAAGATCAAACTGCGATCAAGAAATCTCCAACTTAAGTTTTGTTGCTTGATTAGCACCTCCTACACAAAACAATTTAAGTATCTTAAGCTTGATTTGAAGCTGCTACTGCAATAGGATTAATAACCTTAAGATACTTTGAAGATCTGCATCCGCTGGGAATGGAATTTGATACTGAGCTTGCTGCAGGCAGTTTTATATTCCTGCATTTGTTCATGGGCAAATCTCCAAAAGAAGCACAAGGAACAGAACATTTTTCTAAGTTCACATAGCAAATACAAAATGAGAAACAGAGCTCAGACTACAACTGAGCTTTGAAATGACTCAGTTTGTTTCTGTGTTTCTCCAAGACTCTCCGTTAAAATTTTAGCAGAAATGTGGCAGGGTGAAATCATCTACAGGGCTGGTTCTGTGCTTCAGCCTTTGTTCCTTCCACAGAACAACATGACATGTGACAAAAAAACGAGAGAGGAAATGGCTGTGGCCAAGCACTCCAATGGGCGCTTTCTGAGAAAACGTCTTTGTCCTGTAATTGCTGTGTCTTCTCCTCTTAGAAAAACAGCTGCATTTTCAGTGCTGCAGAACTCTGTGAAGGGATCAGGTGAAATTTTCCTTTGTGTTACTTTGTTGGTTCTTTTTTTTTTGATACGTGGAGACTCTCCTTGTTTCAGATGTTACCAGATTTCATATACAGTGCATTGCCTGGCTTTGTAGTGATCATCGTAGATGTATTTTAAATCCCTGATTAGATGGAGTGGATTCTACCGTACTGCCACTGCCTTCAGGTAGAAAGGATGCAGTAAGCAAGTGGTGTAGTTGAGGCCTCTGCTACCTTGTGCAACCAGGAGGGCAGAAGTTGTACTGGGACCTCCTCATGGAGATCCCTGAAGGCACATTGCAGCCTGTTAGGAAAGAATACTGAAATCCTTCATTCAGTGGGAGAACTTGGTCAGCGTGGGACTCCTCTGAAAATCCTGTATTGCTGAACCGTGCTTCAGCCTGCTAGTATTGGCCTTGGCCCATTGCCATGAAGTAATCCCACTTAGCTGTACCAAAAAGCTGAAATATTATTGAAAAATTCTGCATGTTGGCTTGAGTTGTAGAAACCAATGCAGTGATGTAAGTTGGAGGTTTGCCACTGCTTTTGACACGGCCAGAATTTTACTTCAGCTCTGTTACAGGTCAGAGCGGAGCATGTTTGCAAAGTTGCTTCAGAATCTGCTTCCCTGCCATCTCACATGCTATTCCAAGCTCAGATTAGTTCTAAACTTAGAATTCACTCAGTTACACGAACGCTGAAATAACAATAAAAGGCACTTTGTAAAAATAAACCAAAATGAAGGTTGATCTTCTGATAAAGGCACAGATATGGGACTAAAAGATCTCAGTTTAATTCCCAATTTGGTCACAAACCTTCTGTATAAATTTGGAAGGTCACTTAATCTCTCTTGGCCTCAGTTTCTGATCTGTAAAATGGGGTTAAGTTCAACTTTCTTCTTTGTTACAGAGTGAGGTTTTCAGAGTGTTTTCAGACCCTTCTTACTGAGTTTAGATGAAACATAGAAGACAGACATCTCAGTTTTGTTTTGTTTTTAAGCCATTGACATAAGAAAGCAGTGATATTGGCAACATGTTTTGTCCTTTGGGTCACTGGGTCCTACCAGTATCTCTCTTCCATGCTTACAAAAGAGATGTCAACTTCAAACTACCTTGAATGTAGACATATTTTCTAGCCTATGATATTTTATAATAAATAACACAGTAAAAAATGTAACAACAAATTAAGGGAAATGGGATGAATACAAAGAACTGTATCAAAAAGGAAATGTCAGAAGCCCCAGCTAAAATTGCATAAAGACTATTTTGGTACACAAATTGAACTAAGCAGGACTCTCTTTTCCAGGTCACATGAATCAAAGAAATGAAAAAGACAAATGGATTAAGGCTGACACACAAAGTGGCAAAGTGTATCTTAAAAGCCAAAGCTGGATTCAGTCTGTCAAGCTGAAGATTTCTTAAAGGCGAAATAGTCAAAACAATCAAGTCAAGAAACTGTAAAGGAACATTTTCTCTGGAATTATGAAACTTTGTTGATACATATTCTTAATGTAAGAGAGAAACGATATTAAAAATGAGGACTTTTTAACCCAAGATTTGCTGGTGACAGTGCTGGTGATTAATGGGTCTGGTTTCCTTTTTGTGCCTTTTAGGAACTACAAGGCCTTACATACGCAGAATTTGTGTGACCTGACCCACTCACCAAATCAGTCTTAAAAGCTGGTAACTTTCAAACAAAAGTTTGGAGTCATCATTTAAAATAAGAAAATTAGGAAAAAAAAGCACTTTCACCTCCTGGTCTTTGGAAACATGAAAATTTACTTCCAAGGAGCTGCGCTCTGCCAACTATTTTATATTTTTTAGCAAAATATCTTTCTACTGTGGGACTTCATTGTTTATGCAAAACATAGAATTCTTTTTTCAATCAAATTACGTGTATTGTGGGCAGGATAAAACCACTTTCAAACTGTAATTCATCACTGGTTTTTCTGTTTGTTTTTAACCCCTGAGCTGTTTCTGCTTTGTCAGCAGGCATTGTATGTGTAAAACTGCTTCTATGAAACAGAAACGTTCCATGTTGTCCTGAATCACTTCCTTGTGGTCTGATTCAGCAATTCTGTGTATGCTGCAGTTTTTCTATAAAGAAAAGCTTTTGATATAAATACTCTGAAGTGCAACAGGTGTGGCTGATTTCAAGGAGGAACACTCCACCAAGCAGGATGTTGGATATGAGTTCATATCAGTGTTCCCCAAAGTGAAAGCTACTGAGCTAATAAATGAGAGCTGTAATCTCCTTGCTACATTTCCATTTATCATCAGCCTTGCATGACAGGACTGTAAGCTCATGGAGACAGAAAGGCAGAGGAGGAAGGAAGGCAAGGGAAGTTTATACACCCTGCACAAGAGACAGTGATTTTTGAGGAGGATTTTGTTACCGTATTACAAACGCACAGTAAACTAAAAAGGGCTTTTAAAAGTCTTTCTGTTTCTATATGGCCCCTTATAACAGAAGTACTGAAGTTTGTGTTTTACAGCTGAAATGCAGGACTACCTGCCAACTGAATGGATGGAGAGAAGAAATGAAGAGTTCGGAGTATTGGTTCAGGTTTTAAATTGTGTATATGTGTTTGTAGACCATAACATTATAAAATGATGTTCCCCAGGGGCTGTAGTTGCCCCTTGCTAATGTTCTGCAGCAATCAAGGGCAGTTTTTTCACTTAATCGAGAGTGGTTAAAAATTCCATTCTGTTTCCCATTGTGTGTTCAGTTTGTTCTGATGTCTATGGCAAATTATATATGTATTTGATACTCTAGTATATGAAACAGTAATGTCACTACTAAAAGGAATATAATATTACTAAATATTATTATACTGTTTAAAGATATACAGTTAATAAATGCGTAATGGTTTCCTCAAAAAGTTTTGAAACTAATACTTTATGAGCTGCAGACACAAAGTGAAAGAAGTGCTCCTAAATTGTTGTAGCTGGAAATAAAAGGTGTAGTAGATATTTCACAGAATTGAGTCTGCTACTGGTTCTATTATTCACCCTAATTACAAAGCCTGTTAGCATCTGTGATTAAGGTCTTGTTTTGGGGTACTGCTGCATTGGCTATCAAAAGGAGGGCATAGTGAGAAAGCATGTGATTTCCTCTCGTTCAAAATTAAGCAGAATAATGCATTCTAAAACTTGCTGTGATTGAACATTAGGATAGCTAGTTATTTGCTTATAGAAGCTTAAATAAGCCATTAGAAAAGTTGCACTACCAGTAGAGCCACTGTGGTGGTATTCTTTCTAAATGAATAACTGTTGAGACCACTAGAATTCTAACATTAAGGTCAAGAATGAGTTGAAGAAAAATAAATGTTTGGGAGATTACCCAAAAGACATCTGAGTAATGTCTTGTTCTAATAATGAGGTGAAACTTTTATTTTATTCTCTAGATAAGAAAAGATTAATGGGTTATCAGTAATTGGGATATAAATGGCAAGCCCCACGTGTCATTTTTCTTGTCCTTTTGATAGGAAGACAAGTTCTTACAACTGGAGAAAAATGAGGCTGTAGCACTTTTCCCATCTGCTCCCCTTCCTTTGAAGCTCCTGACTTTGTCAGCTGCCAGCTAGCCTGCAGTTCAGAACTGAAAGTATAGGCACTGGCTTGCTTAGAGAGCTGAATTCATAGCACGAGAGGCCTTCATAAGAATTAGTGCTCTGAGTGTGCAGCTGACTGCTGAGAAGTAGAAGAGGGCTTGAATGTGCGTGCATAGTCGTGTATGAGCAAAGCGGTCATCGCTACCTGGACACCGTTCCTCATCGCTCTCGCACGTTCACGAAGCACCTGATGAGTACCAGCCGTGTCACGGGGGAGGTTCTGTGGGAAGTCTGAGTGTTTATGTTCTGGAGAACCTTGATGGCAAATAAGCCCTAAACACATACAGATTTATTTATTGCTTACTCTGCAGGAAACTACAAAAACCTCTTAATATTGAAAGATGAAGACAGCTTGAATCAACATGTGAAAGTTAGCAATGTTGTTTCAGTGCAGCTGTCTTGCTTGAAGGCGTGCATGCCCCTGTGAGAAAAATTTACAGAACATCCTTATTAATCCAATGTGGTCTGTTATTGAAGTCTGATTAATTTCAAGAAAAAATTATGCAGTGTTCTTTTCATGTTCGTGTGAAAAACAGACAAAAAAAAAACAAACCCAAACTTCAACTCTAGATGGTGCATAATTTCTTCACTTCTACTTTTGAAGAATTCATTCAACCAGGTTCTCACTTGTGCTTTTTGGGGAAGGTATGTTACCATCCCTGTCATAGCTGAGCCAAGGAGGGTCAGCATTCCTTTGGTCTTGTTGCTCCAGTTTGGCAGTATATTTCAAGGCAGCTTGTCTGCAATAACAGAAGAAAATAACAAGACAAAAAAAAATATTTTGCAGAAGTTGTTTCTACAAAGAACACTAAAAGTTTCCTTATCTCAACCGAATCTCTTGATGTTGGGTGTGGAAACTAGAAAAGAAGATAGTTGGTTAGATCATAGAGCCATGGAATAAATCAAGTTGAAAGAGGCCCATGGAAGTCATGGTAGTTGTGTTTTTTTCAGAACAGATCCACCAGACGAGGTGGGTATGGCTCTGCTAGGTGAGCTCTGAATAGCTCTACGGCTGGAGATTGCACAGCCTCTCTGGGATTTGCGTTTGACCGGCCTGCGGTTAAAAGGTGGTTTCCTTCTGTGTAATCAGAGCTTCAAATATGCCAGCTTTTGTGCACTGTTGAGAAGAGTCTGGCCTTGTCTTCTCTTTTGTATCCTCTCATCAGAGTGCCACAGACAGCAGTATGGTCTCTCCCACTCTGATCTGAGTCTTCCCAGACTTGGACCAGCCCAACTCTCAGCCTGTCCTTTCCCAGCCTGTGCTCCAGCCCTGTGGCAGTCCTGATGGTCCTCATCTCAGTTTGTTCAGGCGTGCCCATGTCTGGCTGGGCTGGGGAGCCTGTGGCAGCTGAACCAGGAAGGAATCATTTATGGTGTCCAAAAGCACAGACTGTGTCACGTCCCTCCTTTCCAGTAGCTGTCACTCATTCCTACTCGTCTGTCCCTTCTGTGGCCATGCCCCTTTGCAGTGTTCTGTTAGAACACCAAGACAGTGAATAAAGTGACACACATACAGGGCAAAATCAGGACTGCTGGCTGACAGACCTTCAAGAGCAACTCTCCCTCCTTTCCAGACACAGTGTCTATCGGCCCAGCAGCTTCCACTGGCTTCCTGAGCTGAAGAAACTCGACCCAATGCTTGCAGTCTTTTGAAAGCCCGTTTCTTTCCATCCTTCTGCAGCTTGGCTCCTGGCCTGCTCCCAGCTGCACAGAGCAGCCGCCCCCCAGCTCCCTCCCCTGGCTTCCCCCTCACTGCCTGCGTGCCAGCAAGCTCCCTGGGGCCCAACGTGCTCATGTGGTGCTGAGGAGGGGCCAGCCCTGCATCGCCTGCAGGCAGCTCAACCTATCTATGTGTCATGGCCACAGCAAGGCCGCCTTCCTTCCCACTGAGCCCAATAAGAGATTATAATACATAGCATCTAGACAGTACTAGAAAAAAAAATCCAAATTGAAGTAGACAGATAATAAAAATTATCTGACTAATGCTGCTACGATATTAGTAATATTCTGGTATTTCTTTTTCCAAAGTGAAAACCATGAAGCTGGTTACAGCAGCCCCAGCCATGCGCAGCTGTGTTGCTCACATCCCTGCAGCAGGCTGGGGAAGCAGGAGGGCTGCAAAAGGGCCACGAGCAGTGGGGTGGGAGGGCTCCTTTCCCACCATTGCAGGATTTGTATTTTTTAAAAAACAACACTGACACTCTGTATTAGCCCACGAACACAAGGCTCTAGCTGTTTTTCTATTAAGGAGGCCTTTGCCGTTGAGGAATGTGTGCACAAATTATGTGAGCTATAAGCCGTAAGCCATAAAACAAAATCAACTCATGCAAGTCCAAATTCCTGTTTTTCATGGAAACTGCAATGTATAGTGGCTGGCTGAAGCGTGTATGAGTGGAGCTGTTACTATTTTTTTGGAAACTTACGCTGTCCCATGCCTGGAGCTACAGCTGATTAGTTTGCCAGAAACAGCCACTCGTTAATCACCAACACATGGCAAAATACATCATTTACTTAAGATGTGCTGTACTATGATAGAGCCTCTTTATTCATTCATATAAAGTCTTAAATGAATGCACTGATGAATAAAATCTTTTCAGTGAATAATTACAATTATCTTTGGAAGCAAGTGTCTCCTGGTATAAAGCTCAGACCACAGACATGGCTTGAGCAGTACTGGAATATGTAATTCTATCCTTACCCAAAGCTTCAATCCCTTTTACTAAGAGGAGTTAGCTATACAGTTCTTCCTCATGGTCTGAATTCCAAGCTGTTCCAAGACTCAGAAGATTTTACCAGGTTCATTATAATTAAAAGCAGAGATTTCAAGGTAATGAGGAAAGGTTAAAAAAACAATCAAGAAAAAGTGATTGAAAAGAAAAACCTAAACAGGGGGCAAAGTGTAGTGAAGCTACAGAAGCAAATGGAGACAAGAGAAGCAGAAAGCATCCTCCAGGTTACACAACATGATAAATCCACATACAATCCAAAGTGCTCCAAAGTCTATGTCAACCCTGTAGTGTTATTTTAGAGTATCCAGTTCAAGTGCACACAAAAGCTGAAATGTAGCTTTCCAGGAGCCCCCACTTAGCAGTGAAGTTTCTACTCAGGTCACAGCTGAAAACCAACTTAACAGTGAGTGAGAAGACAGCACTATGATAATTTTTGCTTGCTCAACTGAAGAGTACTCTTAGTCCATCACCAACTCATGTGTAGGCTGCCTTCATTTCTGATTACAAGGCTGTCAGATGCCCAAATCCTTCCTGAGACCTGAATATTTAGATAGTATTTGAAAGTGTTTGCTTTTTCAAGAAAATAGAGC